CCCCCCCCCCCCATGGCTACTCTCGTAGTACACTTACATAGCCATTTTTATTGAAAATGTATTGAACTTTCATAATTTAAATTTAAGCATGAGTGTACAGAATAATAAACCATGTTAAATCCCTGAATGAAAGTGTATAACGATATAAATGTGTTAATGCTGTTTTATATGTTAAAACTCTGCATGTGTTTGCATGCATGATCTGTGCATGTCCTAGCATACATGTCTGTAGCTAAAACTGTAACATGTGTCCAATGCTTTTGTAAAAATCATGTCGATTGACCACTTTTATTCACGAAATTACTTTCTAATATTCCAGTAGAAACCGTTAATTATTTATAATGTGTAGTGGCATTTCTTAATGATTACAAATTATATTTTAATACATTTGGACCTTAATTATTATTTCCTTGCAAATTCATCAAGTAAATGAAAGAGACAAATATACAAGCTAAGCAAAAGCTATTGCTGTCTCTGTCTTACATTATAGAGTTGCAATTTCACTTTTTTTTTAAATAAACATAATTTTTGGCCAGTATTCTGTAATTTTTTTATTTTTAAAAAATATCTAAATATGGTTTAATTTCGCCATTGTACATTATAAATATTAGAATATAAATTGGTAATGCAATCGTTACTAACAAATTACTTTGGCAATAGAATGTTCGAAGAGTTCCCCGACTTGGCTCCAAACCGCACTAAAATTAATAGAATTAATTGATGAGATAATGTAACAAATGGACCAACGCTCAGGTAACATGCACACTACTGTCGGTAGATGTTTGTTGGGTAGATAACAAGAGTATTGTAGAGAACATATTTGGGAACATAACATAATAGTATTTTTAATATACATTCCATAAATCCTTTAGTGTAACCAGTACTTTAATAGTTTTTATTCATGAAGCTTCCTACAAAATTACAACAAACAAATCGGTCTAAAATTGGAATTAACTAAAGTTTATTGTGGGATTATTGTTTGTTATAAATGTGTGCATTTTGTGTATTAACAATTTACTTGGTGAATAACAAATGTTTTAGGTGTGTGCGTGAGCGGCGAGCGACGTCGGCGGCCGAGCGTTGTATGGAAGACTAGTGATTTTGTTGTTTGTATCAATTAACAAGGAATCACTAATCTCCCTACAAAGCGGCGGTACTCACTACGGCCAGTTACTACTTCTGTCATTTCATTCTTGTGTTACTAACTCGTGTGGTGTTTTTATTTTTTTAACGCAATAATTTGATAAATCTACGAACGCACAAAAAACATGACTTTTTGTACCTTCCGCCTTAGGCTGTGAGAGCTTAAAACAAGCGACAGAGAGACATGTTTATTTGTGACGTAATGTGAAATTATTGTTCATAACACTACATTTTTTATGTTGTTTTTAATAATAAATTTGTTTTCTATTGCAGTGTTCATGAGAGCAACCCGAATCTCGGTCGTGGCAACTTCTAATATTCCAAGGATATTAAAAAAAAACATTAATTCATAAAATAATTCAACTGATTTAATTTACGATTGTAAAATAATGATTGTGAAGTGAAATGCGGTCGTTTTATCTCTGCAGGTTAAACAGAGTTGAGGCTCATTTACTACGTATTTTGTTTGTAATAAAACTAATTATTTTATTAATGTAATTTCTATAAGGCATAGCAACATCTAAGATTAATATTTTTGAAATCATTCGTAAGGAAGAAGCATTTATAATGATTATAATTATAGAAGTTAATTGTAAGATCGTGTCAATGGTCAATGGTATTTGTTACATCGATCTATGTTAAGGAATAGAAAATAGAATTTAAAATAAAAAGTTTATTTTATGATTTTAGTAGTTTTATTCTTAAAATATCCTATCTCTAACTCCTTGTAAATTTACATAAATCTTATCGGGTTTTAACACATCGAAATCGAGAAATTAGGGATTTAGCAATCTTAAACGGTCATTTGGTCCTCGTCTGGAAGTTGCTGTGTGGGAAGAACAGCGTACTGTGCATAGTCTATGTTCTGTAGTAGTAGGGTAATGAGAAATTTATCAAAAAATATTACTGTATTTACTCTATGGCAACAAGTTGTATGTTGTCATGTTAAAGTTGCCAACATAATGCCAACTCAATTACTCATCTTCACAAACTCCATTATTTTATTACAATTTTATGACACACTAGCCTGCGGCTTCGTTTGCGTGGAATTGAAAAAAAACGAAAGTGAGTAGGCTATGTGATCTTCCTGACAATCCTCCACAAATACAATACCAAATTTCATCAAAATCCATCCAGCCGTTCAGACTACAAACTCTTAACAAACATTCATCCATCCATCTAAATCATTTATAATATTAGTATGATGCAGACAAAGTAGTGTTATAATACAAACAATAGCCTTTGTAATTTCCATCAAAGGAATGTAAAGTACTAACCATTTCAATAGAATATTTTCCCAAAATAAAACATGTAATCGCACATTCCACTGAAATAATGACAAACTTTATAGGTTACATTACTTCAGATATAACATTATTTTACTTTACAATAGTCTAACATAATTTCAATACTAATGTATTCTATGTAATTTATAATTAGACAAGAATATTTTTTAATTGGGCCATTAGTTGCAATAAATTCCACACAATTTCCTAAATATTCTCTTTCATTATAACTTGTGATGCAATGGCCCAAAAGAAAAAAAAATTATACACAACAGAACAATTCCAAACAATAGCATTGAATGTTGTTTTCATCTTGTCATAGGATTAATAGATTTTTTAAATAAAACAAACATGTCTTATAAATACAATATTTTATAATAATCAAGTTACCTTATTATATACATACATTGAATGTTAATATTAAAATGTTTACTAAAATATCCACAACTTAAAGCTTTTGATCAGATCAAGTCCAAAATATTCATCATGTGGGATGCAGAGATGTGTCTGTGTGCTTGTCTAGATAAAACATGACATATACAAGTGGTATTACAACCCCTAGTACAAGCATGCAGCCAACCAAATGGAACCATTTTAACCCAAAATCAGCACCATGGGAAGTCAACTCCTTCACAACAACCGCTTCCACCGATATCTTTGGTTTATTATTCGGTAACAACTGAGTATCTTCAGATATTGCCTCATTTTGTTCAGAATCTGTATAAGGTATGACAGATGGGGTCAGTGTGCTGTTCAAAACAACAGCATTACAGTCTATAGCGCAGTCATTTTCTTTAGAATCTCCTGTTTTCGCAACATCTTTTACAATTTCACTAGTGAGTCCATTAACAGAAGCATGTTGTAAAATATTAGGTATGCTAAGATTTGGCAGCAACTGCTTTGATGTTGATGGTATTGGCTGACTCTCCTCTGGTGGTGGTATAAGCTCTGTGAGTACAGAGTATGGTGTCACGGGCACTTTTATTGTCCGTCGAGCAAATATCTCATTGTCCTTGTGTATATGATTAATCCTCTTTAATTCTGAAATCTAACAACAAATAGCTTTTAAGTAAATAATTAAATGTAAAAGGTTGTTGTTGACAGATAACTGTTATCATATTATCTACAAGAATGAAGTGAATGATAAATAAACATTTGAGACAAGATAAGCAACTTAAAAAGTGAAAGTGCCAGTCTGAATAAATCTAAATGATGGAATTGTACTTTACATATCTTACCGAACAATAAAATCGTAGAGCGATTGCTTGCAGCGTATCTCCTTCTTGTACTTGAGCTTCAATAAAATGATCTTGAGGTTTAATCCTGTGCAGTTGAATTTCACTATTGTATGAATCACTTGATCTGTTCATATTTACGTTATGTCCAAGTAATTCATCTCCATTTAGCATTTGGCGAGTTCTAAAACAAGGGGATATTAGATAAACCTTAATAACAATAACTAAAAAACTTGTAGTAGCAATTTTGATATTACTGCTTACCTTTGTTTCATTTTAAAACTACTATATAGCTAATGATATCTAACATGACCCGATATGAAAAATGATATACCTTTTGATTCAGAAATAATGATATTACTGTGATAAAAATACCAAAGAAATCGAAGAAAACAGCTGTTAATTTCACTAGCGAAACATTTATGACAAAGGAAATTTTGACATTTGCCACATTGACAAGATAAGCACAACAGATAATATAACTTCCAGATCAATAAAATATCGTATTGTCAATTGTCAACCAAAAAATTAACGCAAATGTTTTCAAGATTCAACAGTTTTACCAAATTAAGCATTGCGAAGATACAGGGAAATGCGTAATAGTCCATGGCAACACATAACCTTACCTTAAAAAACCTTTTACTTATTGCATAAAACAAAATTCAAGCATTTCTTTGCCCATATTCTTCTTTAATCCTGTTCGCTTAAAAAAGGGGGATGGAAAGTGTATATATCCACTTGCTTTAATTTTAAATAGACCCATCGGCAAACTTTTAAATATTTGCTATATTCGTGAGTAGCGGTCTACTCTGCAACTTAAGGCGACAACTTCGGAAAAAAGAAATGGACTCTTGCATTGTATGGTCTCATAACTTATAAGCCTAAGTAGTAGTAACCAAGTTTTTTTATCCTTAACTCCATTCCATCTTTGTCATGCAAAAAGAGATCGGTGGATAGTTATAATTCATATGGTACATTTGTGTTGTTATAATTTTATTATCATTTGAGTATTTTACACAATAGTAAGGTACAGAACATAAAATACTTTTGGTACTGCGCCATAGAGGTGGTAATAATTGCACATTGTCTTTATTTCTCCTCTAACTACACATTATGTACAAAAAATATTTATTAATATAAAAACTGACTTTATTACAATCACTAGTTTAAGGGTAACATTAGGTTAATGTAAACATGGTAGTTATTTATCAGCGGACATAATATTGAAATATCCAAGTACAATGGAACAATATGACAAACATTTTACATAAAATACTTTGAGTAAAATAATAAAATGCACTTTAATACATTAAGAATAAATTAGTTACAAATAAAATAACAATTAATGATTTAATATAATAAAAGTAAAATTATACAAATTTTAAAGCAATCTGGCAAAATTATAACAAAATAAATATCACAGAAAATGATTCGTTTTTACAATTGAGTATCATAGATGTTTTCCGCTTTTATTTTCTACTGCTGCGATACTTTTTAAATACATACACTGATCTTTAGGATAGGCTTTAAGCCGTTGTATTTGATGTCTATTCGATTTTCCCCATTTGGGCGCTGACGTTTGCTGTGGTAAGAATTCAAAGTAATAAAAATCAGTAACTACAATACATATCATTTTCATGTCATCCCTCTAATTCTCTAAAAAACAGACGACAATCTGTACCAATACGACAGTGGTGTTATCAGTAAGGCAATTACAATGTTAGGAGTGGGTCAAAATATTTATTATTCAAGGATAACCGTAGTCATTTCACAGGCGAAATATCTGTATAAAAATATGTCTTCATTTTAACGGTTATTTAATAAATAGATAAGCCTACAAGATATCTGACTCGGTGAGGGCCAAAGTGAAAAATAAATTATAGCTCCTAGTGAGCTATAATTTATTTTTCTTCCTTTTATGCCATTTTCTATAACTTTTAAGGTGTTACATATTTTCTGACAGAGGTTTAATATATTTTCTACTCATTGGGAACCGCGCCTTTCAGCGGGCAAGACATCCATGTTTGATTATCTGTCGATTGTCTATGGTTACAAGCGAATGGCGGCGCCACTGTCGACATAGATTTCCGCTATTTCAAAGTTGGCCAAACTGCAATAAAAATATAAAAGTATAATAATGTCTGAACTGTGCATTACTTAAAATGAAGTGTACATTTAGCTAGTAATATTTACAAAAGCCACATATTACCGCAAAATATTATTTACAATATTAAAATAATCCATATGTAGCGTCTAAACTTTTTGTGTCCTAAAACTAAAACGTTACAACAAACAGATCACGCAAGAAAAAGTACTAAAGCAGCATATTTTAAACGACAATTAAAAACAATGTTCAATAACAAATGTATTTACGGTAGTTATTTGGACTGATAATAAAATACGTTAATTCCTGCAAGTAAATAAATTAGTAATACATAATTGTTAAAAAAAAATGATTTGCCTGACATTTTTGATATTTCAAAATTAGAACAAGAAAGCATATCCCACTAAAAACAATGGTACGCTAATGTAATGGTACTATGGTACGCAAAATAAAGTATGGTACGCTGGTTCTTTTTATCACAGGTTGCGTCTATATAGACTACATTATTTTAATTCATTTGCTCCTCGCCTTCTAAAATTAACTCAAATAAATTCGAAGCAAAAATAATACCTAAATGGTAGCCATGATTGAGACTGTATCTGGCAAAAGGTTTTTTATAAATAACTAATACTATTCTGGTTGTATATCGTTCGTAAGTGATTACGTTTTTATTATATTATGACAGTTTACATATAGAATTAGATAATTAATATACAATATTGGTGTGATTATTACCTAAATATATAAATATTATTATACTACATAACGAGATCCAAAAGTTATATAACCTAAATAACTGACTTTATATTGAGACAAAGGACCGCAAATACTATAATTGATAATGTGACACAATTCACAATTTTTTTTTATTGCTCGACAACTTGATATATTTATCAATTTTCGTTTATTTTCAATTCCAATATTTTCGTGTGTTTCCAAATACCAGTTGCAATTTGAAACTTTAAAATTTAAATAAAAGTTAGTAGCAAAGATTTCAGATGCAATTTCATTCTAAATGGCATTTTGGAGTTTTAATTTTATATGGCAAGGATAATACGGCTCCTAGAAATACCAAAGATTATTAAAGTTCCGATTGCATCAATTTTATACCCACAACGGTATGAACCAAAAAGGTGATAATTGTGTGGTGAAGCTTGTATACGTATAAATGTCAATTACTGGTGCGAGTTACTTAGAAGTTCACGCATTGTCAAAGCCCTGGAAGTCCCCGGGCCAGTTCTCACGTCGCGCGACGCGGTCCGAGCCTGTGCAAGCAAAAAACGCATCACCTTCGAACGGATCCGATTCCCGCGTAAATATATTAACCGATTCCGATTTTTTAATATCCCGATGCGATTGTGTCGGTGGTTTTGCACGCAGAGGTGGTATTTCTCCTTCGTCTTCCTCGGCTATAGACGCAGTCCGACCTCTCGGCGTCGAAAGCGTCGCGAAGTCGTCCTCGAACATTGACCTCGGCGACATCGAGTCGGAGTCGAATCGGAATCGTGTCGCGGGCGAGTCGCCGTCGCGTCGTGCGCTGCTCGCAGACACCGGCGATGCCGTCGTCTCCTCCGGCTCGAAGGCGAATCTGCAATTCAACATCTTTTATACAAAAACAAATATCAAGATGGCAAAATATTCTAAAAACACCGAATAAGGCTTCTAAATTATGCTGACGTGGTTTAATTACGTTTTGAATTTATATTCATCGGAAAAAACTCGGCGTTTATTAATTTGTCAAACTCACCTCGCCGCCTCTAAGTTGGAATACGGCGTCCTCTTCTTCGCGACTGCAGCGGGCGTGTCTTGGAAGTCGTTGTCAAACGGTGACGTATGCTCGCGCTCGCGGGGAGAGAAGTCATTGGAGAAGCGGTAGTCCCGGCGAGCACGCTCCTCGCGGCGAGCTCGGCGCCGGGAGTCACGCGAATCACGGCCCGACTCCCGCCCCGAGTCGCGCGAATCGCGGCCCGTGTCACGCGAGTCGCGGCCCGAGTCACGTGGGTCACGGCCCGAGTCACGCGGGTCGCGGCTCGCCTCACGCGAATCACGGCCCGCTTCACGCGAGTCGCGGTCTGCTTCACGGCGCGACACGCCGCCAGTCGCCGGCCGACGTCCCGGCCACCCTAGTGTTGATCCATATCTGTAGATAATGAACCAACATTTAAAAAAAAATTCCACAATTATACAAAACATTTTATTTTTTACAGAGCAAAAAACAAAAATAAACAAGCTCAACCTTCTATCGTTTGGGTCCTCGGTCTGTCTAATTTCTTGTCGTCTTCTCGTCTCTCGCCACCCCAACGAGCCGTAGTTCCTCTCTGCAACGTACAAATACATGTTGTAAATCAAACAGTAGGACAATCGAGTCAATAACAACATTAACAGAAAGTGATAGTCTTTCAAAAACAATAAGCATGAAAATGTTTAACGAAAATCAAACATTTTTCTGTGCCTTGTAAAGTGGTGATGATATATGCTCACCATCTCTCCGCCAGCGCTGGTCCGTCCAGCGCGCGCGCGGCGAGGACCGCCCCGAGCCGCAGCCCTCGCTGTAACTGTACAGTCACGTCACAAACTTGCTTATGTACGCGCTCAATTAATAAAACCTGAAAGTCTAAAGGTGAGAACTTACTCTTCATCCTCGTCATATGAGTGCCGCGCCTTTCTGTGTCTATCTCTTTCTTTCTCCCTGTACTCCTTTGTCGGTCTCTCTCTACTCCGCGAATCTCTGTAGTCTCTCTCTCTACTATATGTTCTATCTCTGTCCCACGTGTCGTCTCTTTCCCTGCTCCTGCGATCCCTCCTGTGCTCTCTGTGATCCCGCTCCTTGCTCACATCCCGTCTGTCCCTCCCGCTGCCCGAGTCTCTCCTGTCTCTTGCAGAATCTCTTCCATCTCTACTTATATCTCTATCTCTCGCTCTGTCCCGTTTGTCTCGTACTTTCTCCTTCTCGCGCCCGCTGCCGGAGTCGAGGCATTCTCGGGAACCTGATGAATTTTGCCTGGCGATAAAAAAGTTATTAGTTACAAGCTATTGCAATAACTATTTTACGATATCTATAGACAAAGTGAATAAAACCTTGAATCTCTGTCTCGATGCTTGGAGGGCGGGCGCTGCAAGCGGCTCACTGGAGGTGGCTCCTCGTCCCACGGCGACACGTCGCGGGACGACGATGACGTTTGCACTACAAGTCACAGACAATTCTGATTTAGTACACCTATAAAGTAATAAATATTACTAATATTATAAATGCGAAACTTTATATGAATGGATGGATATTTGTTAGAGTTCGTAGCCTAAATGGCTAAACGAACCTCTGGCATAGATATAGAGGATAGCCTGGAAGAACCTTTTGGCTTCTTACTATTGATTTATTTTTCATTCCATGCTGTCGAAGTCGCAGACGATAGCTTAGTGCTTATATAAGTTTGTTTATAATGATTTCATGTCGTAGTTTCAACTCACTGAAGTGTCGACTAAAAACCCTCTAAACTTTAAATAATAAATAGATTTATAGAAACGAAAGAAAATACTAGTAAATACAGATTTGGAGTCTATTCTTGTTCTGCACAAATTTGTATGTGTGCTGACCTATATGCGTGCGTGTGTCGTGATGGTGCCTGCGGCGCGTGCGCGCGTGCGGCTCGGAGTCGCGGCTGTCGGAGGACCACGGGGAGGCGGCCGCGCCCAGCACCGCCCAGCGCCCCGCGCGCGCCCCGCCCGCACCCGCCGCGCCCACGCCCACGCCCACACCCACGCACACGCCGCGAACGCTTCCACACTTTTCTACACAGTTTACAAATACGCAATCTAAAATTGAATGATGCCTTAAAGGTTGAAACCATCAAGTCTCCTAAAAATTAACAGCAGGTGTGGTGAGAAATCTTAAACTTTACCTTTGGTGTCTGGCGAAGAACCGCTAGCGACGTCGCTTATAGAACCCGCAGACAGACGCGCGGACGGCTGAACTTCTCTAACAGGTATAGTTTCCACAGGAGATTCCTTCTTCTCTTCAATTATTTTCTCTTCCTCTCTTTCTTTTACAATAGGACTCTTCCTAAATGCATCTTCCACGTGCGTAAACGACAAGGAGCTATTATCGATGCAATCAAAGAAATCAGAATTGTCAAAGCCGTCAGATTTCTCATCTGATTTCTTTCTTTCTTTGGGTACTTCGGGAGGTAAAGATTCGAATTCATCTTGAGTTTGTTCTATGATAGTTATTTCACGCAGTGCGGCGTACCTGTCGTTAGAATCTTCAAGTTTGTGCTCGGCCACGCCGTTGTCCCGGGGAGACACGCTACGTCTCGTGTTTTCGTTTATTTGTAAGTTTTTCATTACAGTCTTGATATCTTCTATCTTAGCGTCGATCGATGGCTTAGGACTGACGGAATTTCTAAACATATTAAACGAATCCAATGTCAGTTCATCGAGAGTTTTAAGTGGACTTTTAGCCGGTTCTTTTTTAATATCCTCTAATTCTTGATCGGTTTGCAACAGATCATCGATTGCTACTTTTTCTTCCTTTCCGTCCGATTCCGTATGATTAGTTTCATCGTCGACTGGGTCTAGAATGGACTTAGCTTTTAGTTCTTGAGCTTGTATCTCTCTGAAGACTGCATATCTGTCGTATGACGGATTAGCTTTTTTGTCGAAGTCGTCAAAGTTGGCTACAAATGTGTCAGTAGACTCTGGAGGTGCGAAATTATCTTCGAACTGAGTCTGAAACTCTGCAGCTATCGAGGTCAGAGATAGTACCGGTCTTTCCGCGGTCGGAGCTGAAGGGGTAGGAATTAATGAGGTAGATTTCTCTTTCTCCACTCGCATTGAAGGATCTACATGAATATGCTGAAATATTAATTAAATATTGTTTACTTTTATAGATACAGATATATCAAAAGGATAAATATATCATTATTATTCTTACCGCTCTTTCATTATCGGCTGCTAAATATGATCGAAGGTAATCTGTGAGCTGTGGTAATGTCATTGAGGAAAGCGTGGCGGCCGGCACACGTAATCTAGAAAGTAACATTACTATATTAAATACATAACATACAAACAAAAGCGTAAGTTATAACATAGAAACTGAATAATGAAGGCCATTTTAAGCGTGTATGTGTAGATGTGCGTGTACCTGGCGGCGAGGTCGTCCATGGAGCAGGTGAGGAGCTGCGCGAGCGTGATGTCGAAGCGGCGCGCGGCGGGCAGCGGCGGCGGCGCGGGCGTCAGGTACTCCTCCTCGCTGCTGTTGGTGGCAGCCGACGACAGCCGCGGCTTCGTGCTGCGGTCCGCCTGCGACACCACCATCTTACCACGACCACACACAACACACCCGTCAAGTGAAAGCAATTCTGCGTTTTGTGGGTGTGGTGCCGTTGGCCCCATTTTAGTCCCTTTCCCGTTCCACTCTTTTGGATTGGATTGGAAAGTGGATTTGACGGTGAGGAAATGCATAGGGAGGAGAAATATCCTCTTTATGTGCGTCTTCTCCTCCGTTGATTTAGGGTAGGCAACGCATCTACAAATGCGGATGACTATGGGCAGCTGTCGCTTCGCCATTTTGGCAGCTTGCTTGCTGGTTTACCGTTTTTTTATGCAATAGGGTGGTTATTTAAAAAAAAAAACAACGACACACGAAATAACACAAATTATAAAATAGTTAAAGCGTAAACACCTTTGACTTAACTATCGCACAACTGTTGAGACTCGCTTTGATTCCTATGCATACTTTCTTTGCAAAGAAACAATATTCACAGATCTAAGATACAATTCTAAAATAGTAAAGACATATAATGCAAGTACATTTTTACGCATTGCTGGCTCTTTATTTGCAGAGCGGATATAATGCTATCGTATTACATGTGGCGATCGTATGACAACTCTTGATTACACTTAGGGCCAATCCCACCACTGGCTGATAGAAGCTCAGATAGCTTAAAAATGACGTCATAAGCAGATAAGGAAATAAAATCCTTCCAACATATATTTTACACATTGAATTGTTATCAGATAATTTACAATTTGGTGGGACAGACCCTTAGTAACGTAATATGCAAAATTGAAAAATATATTTTACAAATTACCAAAGGTTCTCGTTTCCGTGCAGGTCGTGGCAGGGGCGGGCCGGTCTCGGAGTCGTCATCGTCGTGTTCGTGCGGGGGGCGCGGTGGGGGGCGTGACAGCGAAACCTCCACCACCTTCTTCGGCGGCAGCGGCGGTGGCGGCGAGGGGTTCTCGCCGCTCAGCTTGGAGCTCGGCTGCGGCCGCTGACGCACCGCGCTCGTGTCCGTCGTCTGGAAATGTTCAAACACCACGTAAGAGAACATTCGCACAACAAACGAGTCAATTGCCAACTGTCTACGAACCTGTCTCTGCATCCGCGGCGACTTGGGCGCCGGCTCCGGCGGCAGCGTCACCTGCAGCGGGCCGTTGAACGCGCTCTTCGCCGCGAGGGCGGTCTCCCTCTCCATGGCGATCTCCCTGATAAACCTCTGCTTCGTCTCTTCGACGTGCAACAAGCTAGACTTCGGAAACTCCTGCATGCTCGTGAATGGGTCATCCTTGAAAGTATCCGAAAAGGGATCTGTGCTATCAAAGGGATCGGTCTCCGCGAAGGGGTCCGATGTGAAAAAGCCCCCGGCATACGAGGCCGGCTGGGCGGGCTTGGCGATCGCGACCGAGCCGCCCGAGTGGCGCGTCAGTGACGTCATCGTGGTGGGCGGGCCGTAGCCCTCGGCCTTGGCCTCGCTCGCCACCGGCACTATATCGGATAGGAGCGAGTGCGACGGTACGAGGTCTTTGAGCACTTTCTTTGGCGGATTTTTGAGCTCCTGAAAGAAGAGTTTTTTGTCAACGTAAGGTTTACTCCGGCCGGTGCCGAGTGGGTCTAGTTCGGTGAATACGTCGTAAGTGATCGAGGTGGCCGACGTTGCGGGCTGGGTGACCTGTAACACAGGTATTCTCATGACAAAACCGGCGCTGCGGCGCTCGCTGCCACTCTGTTAGTACTACGACGCAGCAACGGGACGTGGCATGCTTGCAGACGGAAGCGACCGGGGTGTGGGTACGTTAGTCACAAGGAGCTTGTTGACGTTCACTACGAGAAGCACACAGTTCTAAGACGGTTCTAACATGAAAGAAACATAGATCGTAATCAGAGGTGATGTGACAAGTCGTGTGGAGCATAACAGTGCACTGGGCTAAGCTACGGACGGACAAGTTGACACATCATGCAGGTATCATCCTATAGGAATAAATAGATACGCAGTTTTTACACAGCTTTAATTGTCTTAGTTAGTTTAAAAATATGTATTTATTTATTCCATACACATATAAACTACAGTAGAATATTAAGATGGTATATGACTTACTGGTGGGTCGGGCAGGTTGTCTACGAGCGAGGCGGGCTTGGGCTCGAAGTCGGCGACGACCGCGCTGAGGTCGAAGGGCATGGCGGGCTTGGTGGGGCTGAAGGCGGGGCGGGGCGGCGCGCTGCGGCCGCGGCTGCCCGCGCCCGGCGGCGGCGGCAGCAGCCCCTTCTGCAGTACAACAACATATAGATTGACACACTCGAAACTTACAAATATTGAATTTGACAAATCTACAATGAATGTTGAAGTAACCATTAAAACACTAATAACCGAATTCTGAAACTAACCTCGAACATTTTACTTCATAATCTGCTTATAATCCGTCAGTCGTAAAAAATTAGTGGAATTTGGAGTGAAGGCGTCGCCTTATCATTAAAACGTTGTTATCTATGTATATATGTGGTTAAAAAAATATTTTTTATTCTATTTTTGACTTCGAGTTATGTTTTATTAGAGAATACGGATCCACACGAAGAAATAATTAGAATGTCTTAAAGTGCATAACTAGACCTAGATTTAAAACAATTTAAAGTGTACCAACTGAAATCAGATTTATTTCGACATATTGGTTTGATACTTTAGTTCATCATTGGCGAGTTCCCAGCTTACCGGCGAAGGTGCCAAGAAGGAGTCCCCGAAGGGGTCAGTGGAGGGGGTGAGCCCCTCTACTTGTGTCAGTCCGCGCCGCAGAGAGCACAGCTCTTGTTCAAGGTCCACCAGCTCGGCCACCCCGCCCTCCGCGCCACCTTCACCCCCTTTGGTCGCACCGCTCGTCTCCCCCACTGACGATACACTCTGCAAATGTTACATCAAATCAAATGTATTTAAATTGTAATACACTTATCTGGTCAATGGTGGATATTAACTCGTTAATCTATAAATCGTGAATTGGGAATATAAATGCATTATTTTTTTTAAATGATTCTACTCGTTATAAGATAACCAGAGACAATCATTGAGCTAAAACAAAATAACAACCATTTTCGTGGATCTAAAACACGGCTGGCCATTACCTCAGTTACCTGAAGGTATATCCCACTAATATCTCTTCGATGTAAACAAAAAGTTTACTTGGTTCACAAATCAAAAGTCGAAAGAAAAAATCTACCTATCTATATCTATACTATTATAATAAAGTGTAAACACATATTTCTTTGTTGCCTTAGGTGTCAGCAATTACAGCATATTTTTTAATAATTCTTTTATTAATAAAAAGCCCTACACTTACGTCCCGCTTTAGGCTATATATTTTAACGCCATTAAACTTAGGGGCTAAATATTTTGGATAAAAGCCCTAATGTGGGAAAGAGACCATAAGTTGCTGCCAACGTCAAGGAAGCAAGGTTGTCGTCATGTCATGTCATTTTGACATTTGTAATTTGACAAATGTAAATAATAAAATAAAATTTTCATAATTTCATGCGGATGAAATCGCACAGTAACAGCTAGTAACTTTAGAAAGCACATATAAACGTGTTATAAATATTGTCAAAACAATATAACTATGTGAGTATACAGGATGTTGTGTTATTAAGTTTACTCGACAATATGTCGACAAAGTCTACAAGGAACGCTGCTATCCTTACACAAGAACTCCGAAAACTAAATATAAATGTACTGATAGTCTAAACTAGACATTAGAGATATTCCAGCTAAGAACAACCACATTACGGCTCTCAAAACAATATTTAATAGCAATATTGGCGAAGACAAAATACAAATGTTTACTATTGTTATAGTTTATAAAACATCATGCCACAACCAATAGGAGCTGAGTAAAAGTAAAAGATTGGAAAGAGTTTTCTTGTAAATACAGCAACTAGTTACTTCGGTTAAGATCAAGTGAAAATTGTATAAAGTTGTAACAAATACTTACATGGTGAAAATGGGTTGGGAAAATGGTTAAAGGTGAAGAGATGAATGGATTGCGTTAAAAGTGAAATAAGAAGTGAGTGAGTTGGATGACGGAAGAAAACCCTGGATTTCGAAATCATGGTGCGGTGACCCATGTAACGAGATAATCGTGAAAATTAGATGTTGTTTTCGTTAATAAATCGTGCGAAAAAATACATACACTTAGAATAAGGTGCACTGTTTGTATAAACCATTGAACAATACTGTAATTGCAAAGCAATTGTGGGAATTTTTATATTGATTTATATTACTCGGGACAATAACAAGCAAACTAATTAATAAAAAAAACATACAGACAAATTGAGTACCTCCTTCTTTTGGGAAGTCGGTAAAAAACAACATTTTCAATAATTTAAATTAATTTTAAATTTATATGATTAAAACTTTTTTTTGATGGTAAATTTTGAATAAATGTAACTCGTAAGATTAAGTGTATGAAGATAACAGAAAAATTGAGAAACAGAAGTGTTTTAAAAGTTCCTAGACAAAGAAGCTGGTTTAGAAACATGATATGTTTATTTCACTTTTTCTCTTCCTAATAAATTCTAAAATCAAGAAACAACTTGGATTATTCTTAACTAGGTTTTAATTTAATTTTGTAAAAAGTAGTAGGTCTCACCTTATCCCGGCTAAAGAACGAAAACTTGGGCGATTGTAGCAGCCTTTTTCTGGACATTTTCTATAATTCAAAACACTACACCACAGACAGATTGTCTCTCACCACACGTCAGCACAATGATTGCTGTTTGATGTATTGACGTTCATCATCGCGCCGGCAGTACAAACAAATTCCTCTAAACCGTTGTCATACTGCTACCAGTACTGTGACGCGTCTCAAACACTACAATGTCGAACATTTCGCTTACGTCATCGTACATTACTGGTCGGCGCTTGCGTGATACATCGAACAGTTTCATTGCCAGCGGTCAATGGAACAAAAACGATTCGAAAACTTCGATAAACTTTATCGAGAAGAATATGATATCATCGAGAAATCTGATGCTAAAGAAATAAATATGTTCCAATCGTTATTAACTATTCTGTTTTCTGGTGAACAATAAATCGATTATTATATTACACTAGCTTACGGCCATGACTCCGTCCCAGTGTAATTAAAAAAAGCAAAAACATATGTAAGTAGCCTAGGTGTCGTTTCAGACTATCGTCTACATCTATGCAAAATTTCATCAAGATCCGCTTAGCAATTTAGACTGAAAACTGCAACAAACATCCAAATGTATAATCCACTCAAACTTTCGCATTTATAATATTAGTAAGATAAAATGTAGACGCTAGTACATAGTCATTGTGCCTAAGTGTACAGTTTTTTTAGAAAGTAGCGAATTACAAGTTCTTGGACTACATAACTCCAGTTATACCGATTAGCACGACATCAAAGAGAATTGCAAAATTCAGTAGTAGTTAATATTATTTTTACCGATAGTTTTTACTGATATTGTGATGTTTAAAAGACTATTTACTTGAGTTTTAATTACTTTATATCTAAACGTAATTATCGATTTGAACTTTATTATGTAAACCTGTTTCTAAATAGTATCTATACTATACTATTATAATAAAGCGTAAACACACACTTTGTTGCCTAAGATGTCAGCAATTACAGCACATTTTCGAATAATTCTATTTTTTAATAAAAGCCCTACACTTACGTGACGCTTTAGGCTACGTATTTTCATGCCGTTAAAATAAGGGGTAAATATTTTGGATAAAAACCCTAATGTGGGAAAGAGACCATAAGTTGTTGCCAACATCAAGGAAGCAAGGTTGCCATCATGTCAATAAAATGAAATTTTTATAATTACATGCGGATGAAGTCGCATGGGAACAGCTAGTAAAATATAAATAAATACCTTAACTTTAGCCTCAGAAGCTGTGCTTGTATGTCGAAGTAAACTGTTCGTAACAGATTTTCCCTCCAGCTGTTGTTTCGCCATTTCCACTTCTTTCTTCTTGAGTTCGAATACCACTTGGAATAGATCCCTCATAGCAATAACTACCTGAAAGCAACCTCTATATGTCAAACATTCAATGTATTTAAATAACAAACGCAGTTTATAATACTTGTTAATATAATGTATATTATATTTGTAAAATATTATTGATATTACAACGTACAATTTAATTTGTTTACGCAAAATGAAATTTAGTTTACAGATTGTATAGTGTCTATTTTCCTTTTTCCCATTATTCAGGGGTCAAGTCCTATTTTTCTCCTAGACTATTTGGCTAGGATTATCGGATTAGAAATTTTTTTGATGACGTAAGGGTTAGAAAGAGACAGAGTAATAAAACTCATTTATTCTGATTGGCTTAAAACAACTTTGACCTCATCTATGACTAATTACCCCTATTTTTTTAAATCGATACGTAAACTTAGAGCGTCGGTGGATCAGGGGTTTAAGTACTTAATTGTAGCCTACAGGTCTTGAGTTCAAAACCCGCCATATACAAATGTGAATTTCGATTTTTCGAATTTCATATGTTCAATTTACCCGACGTTCTTAAGGTGAAGGAAAACATCGTGCAACCTGCACATATCGACGAAGAGATTCAAAGATATGTGCGAAGTCAACCAACCCGCAGTGGGCCAGCGTGGTTGACTACGGCCAAGTCGCCCTTAACTTAAGGTAGGCTTCGAGCCCTTCAGTGAGGATGTATAGTGAGCTGGTGATGATGATGACGATGTAAACTTACTTGACTAGCAGCCTTGTCAGTCTTGATACCGAAGAACCGATGTCCTGTGTCAGGGGAACCGAAGATATATCCAAATGCTCGAGAGTCCGTCATATCCTGCGCGATGAATGATATCTTGTGCACAGGATGGTGGTATAACGAATCCTGGAAAAGATATTTAACTATAAACATATATTAAACATTAATGATCACTATTTTTTACATATTAAAGGCGTTATATTTGTGATCGACATAGAAATATAATTCTGAAGACACCTAACAAGAGGTCGTTTAGGATATAGGGCGTCACACCGACATACACAATGGCGTTGAAACCTTTTAAATTGAGTTAAAAAGCCAATTATTTATTTTATTTGAAAATATGTACTTTGAAGACAAATTTGAAACGTCGCTGACGTAACGTACTTTGCTTAGTTAGCAAGTTAGTGAAATATTTATATACTTATTAGCTAAGTGTGAATAAAGTTTGGAAGGTTCCGAGGTCGAGACGAAATTGTTCATATTATGATATGATAGTCTACTAATAATGATCATTGCAAAATTTACCATACAAACATGTCATTATCTCTGTCTGAAAAAACCTGTTGTTTCGTCTGTGGAAACCCACGGTTATTCCACACCGAGAATGAAAACATCAAACTTTATGTCGTGATAATGTCTTGGCTACCAAAACAAAAGAATGAGATTATAATAATTTATGAAGGGTAAACTCTGTTATTTCCGTATTCATTGGACATTGCGCGTTGATGAGCCGCGAGGGAGCTCCGAACTTCATGAATATCCTTGTCGCCTTGACGCCGCGCCGGCCTCCGACCGGGGTCAACTGTGTTCTTCATTTATCACAGATCATTTATTTACACGAACTTGAAGTTTTGTATATGTATTTTAAAAAGCTTGTTTAAACTTTCGTAAACAATACATTAATATAAATATTCCATAAATTTGTATTTTTTTCTATTTGGTTATTATTAGTAAATGCATATAATTTAAAGTGAGATGTTCTACAGAAGTTCAATTCAGAAACAGATGTAAACAACCTGCATCACCTTCTTTTATAACCGCTAACTTACGAAAGAAGTTATTTAATTTCTACTTGAACTCTACCTAAGGTTCACTTCGAATTGCAAACCGAGCTACTAGTTTCCTCAAAAGGAACAAAAAAACATAGGCGTGTTTACCTCAATAAAGACTTTAATATCATCATTGATTAACTTACTCCAGTCTTATCATCACGTAGCCGTAGTCCATCAATGGCGACATGGACTTGGATCCGCTGTTTATGCTCGCCGGCGGCGCGGATGGCCATCTTGAGGTCGGCGAGCGCCTCCTGACACATCCTGTCCCCCCGCGCCTCCGGCACTTCCAGCACGCCGATCAACTTCGCGCGGAACGACACGCCTTCGCCCAGGAACCGGCCGGGCTCGTTCTTGTCTAAAACAATAGCTTTCACCTCACTAAATAAAATAACTCGACACAATAAGAACTTAACAGATTCTTTTTATAGTACTATAGTACTAAAGTACTTTTTATAGTAATATACATTATCTTAAATCATTGTAAAATGTCATAAAACAAGTTAGAAAAATGTGATTATTCTTATAGTTAATTTAACAATACAATAATTTGATATACTAATATTTTCAAATATAAAAGAGGTCATTCATAAAATCATTGTAATTGTGCGCAAACAGAATTAAGATAACATTTCCTTGAGGAAAACATAAAAGAGTCTTTTTAGTTAGTCTGTACGGAGGAAATGTTAACAATTTACTATTAAGGCATCAATCAATCAGTACATTAAAAGATAGTTAAATTAAAAATATACAAGACACTCTAAATCAAGAACATGTGAAAAAGCATTCTAAATACGATAAAAGCATTAAAACAAGCAAAGCATATAAAGAGTATTAAAGGTGTTTATAAAAATATTGTTACAATTACAATACCTTTGCTGAGAAGGCATCTAGATTCCGCTTTTTTAGGTGTCATTGTTTTTTTTTATTTCTAAACGCTCCCATAGATGTCAAAACAAACGTAACGGTTGGAGTGCGAAATAAAAGTGAGCAAGGTATGTCCTATTTTGGTCCCTATTTACGGTGCATCATTGCCGCTTTAATTGAATATCCTGTTTTTAAATTTAGTATCTCCTGAGCTGGGGAACGATCCAACTGTTTTATAACATCCGTGACCTTTTGTTTTAAAGACCACCATACAATTGTTGCTCTAAGGTCTCCACAATAGCCAGATATAGTACATCTCAGTTCTGACAGTTTTAACTGAACTTCCACTCAGTAAAACTGTCAGAACTAAGAGTGCAATGGGCATTAGGTTCTCGAGCTCTTATTTCTAGATTGATCTATGTTAACACATTTATTGCCACCGAATCACGTGGCGAAATCAGTTTCATACGACAAAATCGTAGTGGCATGGAATGTGTTTTACTGACCATTAGAATATAGTCAAAGAATATCTGTATAATCCTAAAAATATCGCATCTGTGTCACCGAGTTTATAATTCGCAGACCGTACAAGCTGCATGATCGTATTATTGTAACCTCATGTAACATACGAGTATAAATCCGAAACGCAAATGACTTATGAGCATAAGATAATATTCCACATTTTAAACGTTAGAAGTAAATATTATATGGAAAGAGAGTATTGCCGGTGAATATTTAAATGAAACCGAAAGTAAGAACATGTAAATTAATTTTTCCATATGTTAAGACGAAAGTATGTGTTGTGAGGGAAATAGTTACAAATATTGGTACATTACGTTTGTATAATAGATAAGAGATGTGATAATGATAAAATTTGGAAAACAAATAATATTTATCATTGCGTCGCTTGAATGGTTTCGACTCTACATTATCAGGCTTTTCCATTATATGGTGCTTTGTTCACGTTTACTGAGGACTATCAGAGAAAAGGTCGGCGACCGAAATGATCACCGAGGCCGCACGACTCAGATAAACGCACATCGTACATTAAAGACAATAAAATAACTCCTACGTTCATACAAATACTTCATTGTACTTTTGTTCCACGCTCAGTACAATTCATTTAAAAATATATACCGAAAGATATACATGAAATGCATACATAAGCAGATAGACTACGTGAAGACGATGTACTCACCGAACTGCCGCAAGAGATGCTGGAAATGACACACCTGCATTATTCGATGGACAATCGTATTTACAAAGTGGCGCCCGACGCACGGCACCGCCTCCCCTGGCCTCACAATACACCCTCTGTCCAAAACACCACTAATTATGACATGGCTCTAGGTCGGTCCGTACCCGCGCTGGTTAGCGGCAAACTGGACATTACAAGGCTAATGTTGCAGCCGAACATGCACTCAACAGAAATTAATATGCAAATTATACGAAAAAAAAATTCAAAAGCCAGGATGCATCAACGTATTTATTACATTTAGCTCTATCTAAAAACACCTCATGACCAAGGTAAAGTGATGTGAAATTATATTAAAGAAAAATACCGTTCTAAGTGATAGCACATCGTAATTGTACGGACTCACATTTGCAAGGGCTGGTTTTCTTACGGAGGGTTTGCATTGGAAAGTCAGTCGGTAACTTGTGATTGAACATCGGAAAGGCGACGGCGTTATCGTCGCGTCGATATCACTGAAATATAAAACAGGATAGTACACTGCACATGGCCGTGGGTCTGCACGTAGCGAGCACTGTCACAAGACGTATGAAACATTCGATCTCCGCGACTCTTATTGATTTTCAGTGCGCCGTATTAACCACCCTAGGAATTTTCGCGTCACGATTTACATTGCATTGAGACTGAACATTGTAACGGTATTCTCGTCAACGATGTTAATTATTGGCTAGTTGGTTGCGTATTGCATTTACAATTGTTTCTGTGAGCACAGGAGCACAGGGCACCGGGCGCGCGGCCGGCACATGGGTACTAGGCGAGCAGACACGCACACAGGCGCGCGCATCTTTCGCGAGGGGGTGAGCACACACGCGCAACTCACGAACCCTTAATCAATATTCGCCCCCGAACTCTAGTTTATGCAACTTTTCGTTACTACGAATATAAAACTGCGTCTATTAGGCTTATATTCGAAATTTCATTTGCCAGTCTTTAATTATGTAATATGATTATTTGACAAAAGATTCATACAGTAATGTAGAGATAGATTTAACACTCATCTTTAACTGTAAGAATATGTACTGGACAAAAGTTATTTCATTCAGTAGATGTTAAGATTTCTTAGGGCCTGTCCCACCAAATTTTAAATTGTCTGATAACAATCCCATGAGTAAAATGTGATGGAAATATTGGATTTTGTTACCCTATCTGACAGTGACATCATTTTTAAGCTATCTGAGCCTTTATCAGCCACTGGTGCAACAGGTCCTTAGTATTATGTAATTATTTAAATTTTAATATTTCATATTGTTTAAAAATTTTATTTTATTATTTTTAAGTTGTAACTGTGTATTTTTATTTTCTCAGCAAAATCCACTGTTTAGGTTTGATAAACATTTTGCTCCCAGTTGGATATCTATTTAAGGATAAATTACAAGCTGTCTTCTATGCACAATTAAATTGTGATAAACACCATTGCAGTGTTTAGCTGGATTAAATATATTTATTCTTATTGTAGAGTTACAATTTAAAAAAAAAAACATTATCTGTTTGTTACTTAGTCACTTTCTTAAAGTATTAAAAAATATGATACGGTGATGCACTGCATACTTCTTTTTGACCGACTTCCCAAAAGAAGGAGGTATTCAATTCGACGGTATATTTTTTTTTTTTTTTTTTTTTTTTTTTTTTTTTTTTGTGTGTTACGGCATAACTCCGCCGCTAGTGGACCGATTTGGATAATTCTTTTTTTATCCGAAAGGTAATGCTTGCAGGTGGGTCCCATTTTTTTGTTTAATTTTTGGAGTCTAAGACTACGACGTAGTTAAATAGTTTAGCTCAAAATCGCGCGACGAAATTTCGGGTCATTTTTTTAAAGAAACTTATCATTGTATACTGCAAATTATACCCTATTTAAAACAATAAAGGTATAGAGAACATTATATCATTATTTTAATAAATAAATTCTAATAAGATATTGCTATATGATTAGTATTTTAACATAGAATTAAAACCCACAACCACATTATATATTTTTATAAAATAATTTGTCAGGTATAACAAATTCAATAGAAAATATTCATAGAAAAAAAAAACAATTAAAACAAAAATACATAAAAACCTTACCAGGTTTGATAAAAAAATTACATTTCTTTAATATACAAATTGGTACACATTCACTTTAATTCAAAATATTTGTGTAAATGAGCACTGTAAATAAATGAAAGCACATATAAATGCTTATCAAGCTTTTATTGTTTATGTATAAAACATATAATAAATTTAAGATATAGTGGAGAAAAATAAACAAAGGAAGACAATGAATAATCTTCAATGCTAGAAATAAACCTGGTCTTGAACTTGACTGTTTGCCTTGAGTTAACTTATATATAAAGTGTTACTTTACTGGTAGTATTTAGTATGACTTTAAGAATCATTTAGTATCGTACCTGATTCAAAATTCATCACTGTTCATTCAAATGTATTCATTCAAACTTCTCAAAAATAAATCGTATTTTAGGTTTCTGTCGTTAATTCGGCCACTGAGTAAACAAGTCTTGCACAAAGGGATTCTGTTATTTTTTAAATAATGAATGTGTTTTCATTGTATTTAAGTTATTCACAGATAAAATATCGTTTCCCGATATGATTGTATTTAAGAATTAAATAATAAATACAAGAATATGTCGTATAACTTTACTCTCGATTGATAAAAAAATATACAGTTTCACTTTGTTTGACTTTTGACTTTGACTGACTGTGACAGACACTTTTTCTGGAGCCTTACTTAAAGTCTACGGCTTTAAAGACATACAGTCATTGCTGTTAGAATAAAATATTTTAAATAATGGTTATAAGTAATCAATACATCTTTTCTAAATTGAATCATCGTCATCAGCCTTTATCTCTCTTGGACATAGGCCTTTGCCAATACTTTCCACAAAATTGCATGTGAAAACAAAAATTTCAGATTTAATGATTTGTGTGAAATGAAATAGAATGCTTATCTGTGGTGGGTTTGTCACTGTCAAGTGTCAATGTAATATTTTTGTTAAATGTCAAACATTGTTTTGATTTGATTTTGTAAATTAATTATTAATCTTTAATTGAGATTTTTAACATTAAATAAAATGAGTGTCCTTTTTAAGAGTGAAAAATTCTTCGCACTTGACCACCAGGGTTACATTTCAAAAACTTACCAGAATGTAGTCATTACGCCTGAACAGTTTAAATCTTATGCCCTTACAGGTTCAATTTTTTCAATATCTAATAATATTACAAGCGTTTTAAAACCTGGAAATCCTAGAAAACGAAAAAAAGACTCGAGTATTATTAATCAAGAGGTACGAGAATTAAACGATTGTAATTATTCTTAGTTCGTTTATCCGACGTTTTTTTGTACTTTTAGACATTTTCGGTGCAAACAATGTTTGAGAAGTTTCTACAATTAATTACAACTGATGTTATTGAACATTTCAAACATCGCTACAAATTGGTAGACACAACATTTGTAAGAAATATAGCAAAGAATTATTTTGAATCTACTATTTTCGATCATGCCAACATAAGTGGAGGAAATGACTCTAATTTGCCAATTAAGTGTAAAATTAATGATGAATTTTTCCTTATACCTCAAAATTCACGGTGGGTATTTTTTTTCCATTAAAATGATCAGTAAAATCTTATATGGCCCACTTCATGAAACATACCTATTTTATTTATGTATAATTTCGAATTATACATTGTCACAATATCAGGACTAGTGATAAAGATATGTAGAATACTATATTGCAATAACCACATAACAATTCTGTCTTTATTCTAGGTTTTTATGTGGAGATGTCAAAGATTGTTGTAAGAAACTTGATGGTAGTAAATATGACATTGTAATAGCAGATCCTCCTTGGTGGAACAAATATATAAGACGGCTGAAAGCTGCAAACTCCAAGTTAAGGTTAGTTTTTTCATTATGAATTTTGTAATTGTACAAATTGAATAGTACCTAAGATATTACTAAAAGTGTATGTGCTTGATATGCATTTATTTATGATTATATGGTGCAGTAGTTAAGCTAGCATTTTTATTTTATACTTAATAGTGAGGTTTACATAGAGTAAAAATGCAAATATTAAAAATACATTTTTTCTTAAATTAGCTCTCAGATAGCATACCAATATTATTGCAGTATGTTTACAGTTATTCTATGATGTACAATGAAGATATTGCATCAATACCAGTTAAAAACCTATTTGCTGATAACTGCCTTGTTGCAGTTTGGTGTACCAACTCACCAAGTAATATCACCGCATTGAAAGAAATGATATTTCCCAATTGGGGTGTAGAGTATGTCACAACATGGTATTGGCTCAAAGTAACCAGAGATTTGAAACCTTTATGTGTATTTAACACTGGATGTAAGAAACAACCGTATGAGAGAATAATCTTAGGAAAGGTTGGTAATGTGAATATACCAGAAGAAAGTTTGATTGTGAGTGTGCCAAGTGCCTTACACTCGCATAAACCACCATTATTAGGTTAGTATACTTTTTAAAATTCATGCAAGTTATCACATTCAATGCCACTAATTGTTTTGTATGAAAATAAACTCACAAGGTGTGTTGCTAGCTTGATAATGTTAATTTTTTTTGTTTGCTTTTTAATAGTTATAATTTTAATTTGCAGATATATTATCCTCATATGTACCTGGAAATCCTCAAACTTTGGAACTATTTGCAAGATACTTACTTCCAAATACTACCAGTGTTGGATATGAACCACTCAAATGGCAACATATTTCGCTATACGAAGATTTAGATGAAAATAAAAAAGAAAGTAATCTTAATTAGAAATAATTAATATGATGTCATTTTTATTGAAAATCAAAAATTGTATTATGTATTTACAATTTTAATACGAAATAAATAGATTTAGGCATTTTTCAATGATTTGTATTAAGATTGAAATATGTGTATAATGTTTATCTTAACTTGTAAAAGATAATTAAACATTATTATAAATAAATCATTTTATTGTTTTAGTTTTAGCTGTTTCCATTGGTAATAATGACAGTAGTTTTCGTGTTCTTTTTGGGATATCCATCTGGGTTCATTGTCTGCCATCTCCAAAAGTCGGTGCCTGAAAAAAACAATCGAATTGAGAAACTATTCCTTTTCAAAGTTTGTTATTTGTATGTACTTAATTACTTTAATGCAGTGACCAAGCATGGTTAAATTGATTGTCGTTTTTTTTAGGTTTGTAAATTTTTATTATCTTAAATATTTCAGGTAATTTACTAAGTCCACTTTTATTAAGACACGCTAATTTACGTCTACTCGTTTGTATAGATTAGTTGCGTCAAATGCTTATTATTGATAGTTATCAGTCATTTAAATATTCATAATTGATAAAGATGTTTGTGAAAGTTTTCTTAATCGACATTATATCGCAATCTATAAGCGAGAATATTTACAAAATATATTTTTTATGTAAAAATGTACATAATAATGTTTGGCCAATACGTACACATCTCTTCAATAGTGTATTTAGTTGTCCAGCCGAGCTCGTCCCGCGCGAGCGTGGCGTCCGCCCACATCGCGGTGATGTCGCCGAGCCGCCGCGACACGTACTGCAGCGGGATCCGAGTACTCGTCACGCGCTCGAACACATCCACCAGTTCCTTTACTGACACACCCTTGCCGGTCCCCAAGTTATATACCTGTGTAACGCAATTGATGGCTTCAATTCGATAGAATATTGGTCCAGATAGTATAGACGAATTAACACATTGAGTGCCATCTCGCTTTCAACCTGCTCTTGTCCCTTTGGAAGGTTGGATTAGTACGTGCTGCACTTCCTTACGTCTCTATCCGTCTTGAATCCACTTCTTAAAATATATTCTAACACAATCCATTCATACATTCTTCGGTCTTCCTCTTTGTAGCCTTTCACATTCAATCTTAATACTTGTTATCTGATCACCTGACTCGATTGTGAGTTCAAATAATATTTAAAATTCCTAGTGGCATTCAAGGTGTTAACTTATTAATGTTAATGCGGGGTAGATAAAGATAAAAGTTCTTTTTTCAAAAACTCGTAGTGTTTTGTTACTTGACATTTACTAGAAACATTTTTTTTTTACAAATCTGCAATTGATACAAACCTTCAAACCAACTTGATTATCATTCAATAGTTTCAATGCTGCGACGTGACCGTTGGCTAAATCCATCACGTGAATGTAGTCACGAATACCTATAACATTTATAATATTTTAATTTACATGGAAATTATAATTAACGAACGATAGTCTTCAGGTGAATGTAACATAAAATATTAAAAAAAAATGTTCCCAACTCTATCTTGTCTATTCCAGGTACTAACTTGGGAGTTTTAGTTAATTTTTTAAAAGCTGTATAAGATTTTAGACAAGATTCGAGACCTTATAAATGTCGGCATCAAGGGCTAGAAACAACAAGCCTAATATAGACCGATATGGAGGAATTTACTGGACCAGGCCCACCCGCGGCTCTAGTGCCTCTGATGATGATGATGGTGATAAAACTTTAGACTGAACGTTTCGTCAACAATAAGTTAAAAAGATAATAAAAAAACACTTACCAGTGCCATCAGGCGTGTTATAATCGTTGCCGAAGACGGTGAGCACGGGTTTCTTGCCCAAAGCAACTTGAGCCATAAACGGCATGAGGTTCGTGAACTCCTTGGTCGGGTCCTCGCCGATGAGCCCCGAGGGATGCGCCCCCACCGGGTTGAAGTACCGCAGTGATATTATGTTCCATCTCTATTCGCGAAAAATAAAATGTAAATAGATAATAATTGATGGAAAATCTTTATTGGTCTCAATAAATAGAACCGTGCATCGACCATTCAGATTGGAGACAACTACAGCTGAAAGTTAATAGCAAAATCATTCTCCTTTTCAGCGTATAATGTCAATCAAATTCGACAAATAGCCATCGAAGATAGATTCGCACGTCAATTTAATTTTGATACGATATCACGGAAACAGAATATCCTTGACCTTAAAGCGATCTACGGAACCGGTATTTACTTTGGTCTGATTCCAATTCTTCACCTAAATGTTAGTCGAATTGGAAAGCGCCAAAAACTTGTTTGATGTACTATGACGAAAGATATATTCTGTCTTTTTAATAGTGAAAGTAAATCTTATCATTTATATCCATCTTTTACAAAATGACTAAGTGTTTGTATGCATTTATATCATATCTGAAATATTTATAAAGTTATCAATTTATCAAAGGTGCTCCGTTAAATGGTTCGAAGTTTTTGATGTGGAAGTCTCAACTATTTATTAATTTTTCTATAGTAAAAGTCAAACAAGCAAGTGGGACAACGCTAAAATAATAACCTGCCCATAGACATCTTTAACAGGTTAAAAGGCAGAAGGGTACTTACCTTTTCTGCCACACTAAGATCTTTCAGCATCTCTTCAATGAAGTACTTGGTTCTGCCGTACACGTTGGTGATCTTCCCTGTAGGATGTGTCTCGGTGATGGGCAGATGCTCCGGCTCGCCGTACACCGTGCAAGATGATGAGAACACCATTTGATAGCAGTTGTGAGACCTCATCACCTATATAACGAAGAGACAGTCACCGATAGTTTGTTAGCAACGTATTGTTTACTGGGTAGGTGTAGCGATCAGCTAGGAAATTTTCGAATGCTTTCTTTGCCTTCTGCATCCAAATACTTCCAGCCGAGAACATTGAGAGCAGTGCAAAATTACGAACGGACACACACCTTTGACTAAACTGTCGCACAACTGTTGCGATTGTCGATTGTTTCGTAGCCAATTCAACTGTTTAGTTGCACAACTAAAAATCGAGTTCACACCTCCATATAAGTACATAGGAATCATTGCGCGATAAAACAGTTGTATGATAGTATAGTCAAAGGTGTCCGCGTGTTCTAAAAAACTTAAGATCACGGAAACGGTGGTCATAATCGCCGCAACTATGAAATCTATGTCAAGTACTTTATCGCCATGATTTCGCCGCAAACTTTTCAAGTGTTTGTATGTGCATAGATATATCACGTCATATATCGTGAGTTATACACAAAAATATAATAAAATCTTATGGAGGTCGTAGGATTCACGTAAACTAGCTAATGGAGAGGTCAAAAGATTCTATTCATAGATTCAATGTTTAATTGCAACAAATTAAAAAAAAATGATGACGTAATCGAATTAAATGCAAAAACAACTTGATATTTACTAATACTAGATTTCTACATTTCGTTGTAATGAACAGAAAATTACCTCTAATAAATTAAGCATTCCCAGTAAATTGTTCTGATAGTAGAGAAGTGGTTGTTGCATCGACTCTCCGACCGCCTTCAGAGCCGCAAAATGTATGACGCAGTCCACTTGGTGCTGGAATTAATAATAATAATAATAATAATAATAATATAATATATAACAAAAGTTACTACAATGTGCCATAAATTATACAAAAGAACTAGAAGGTACAATCATGTCAGTGAAATAGTGGTTTTCTTTAAAGGTTCCCTAATATCATTTAATCTTTTGTAAACTACTTTGTTACCAAAGATTTAAGTATGCGTTATAACGCTTTTATTCACAAATATAGTAGTAAGTTAACAATATATCGTAAACAATTTATACGTCCTTTGACATAACACACATGTTAAAAAGTGCGATTCCATTGCCGAAACATTTGTTATAAAAATTACAGTTACCAATATGTGTTAAAACAAGCGATACAGGAGTTGTCAGCACCCTCTGAAAATTTACCTTGTCGAAGATGTCATTTATTTGCGGTTTGTCAAGTAGATCTGCTTTGTAGAAGGTGATAGTTTTGCCAGTGATTTGTTCAGCTCGCTGTAGCGCGGGAGAGCCGTGGTCGTCGCCCACTGCGTTCGCGAAGTTGTCTATTGCCACCACTTCGTATCCGGCCTCGAGGAGGTCCACCACGCAATGACTGCCGATGTACCCCGCGCCCCCGGTCACCAATATTGTCTTGAACCGCGTCATTGTGTGATCTTATTCTATAATTAAATTTATTTATTTCACGATAGAATTTAAAAATAAAAATTAGATAAAGTTATGTCTAGGAATCTGTACAAGAGATGTGTACTGACGCTTGAAATGGCACGTCGTATAGAGGGGGAATCTCTTTATTGTCATGCCAAGTTACACTAATCACTAATTCACTAAACATTAAAAGAAGAAGAAGACGAAGAAGAAGTAATACTAAATGTTGAGTACTATAACTTTTTATAACTGAACTATAACATTAAATAAGAAAATCAAAACTCATCGATCAGAAAATAAATTTAAGTCTGCCTAAATCCTTTGTGATCTCAAACACTTGATGAGTACAATCGCCGACTTAAATGTCACGTCCCATTTGGATTAGCAAATTTAATATGCAAGCCGCTACTGACCGGCCGTTCTAAAGCAAAAACAATGTACCATTAATTCAACAAGTCGGCGGTAACCCTGGTCAAGTATTTGTCACATCCAAATATTGAAGACGATACGACTTCGTAGAAACGAGTAATTAATAAACACATGTGATTTGTTTGCTTCATACCGATGAGGGGAATATTCCTTAATTTTCAAACGACGAAAAAGAAAACAAAACAATGGAATTGGTGTTGCAACATAAAATTATATTACAAAAGAAAAAGATCTGCAAAGGTCAACAACATCTAAAATTCTTATTTTGAAATCGTTCCATTATCACTTAAAATAAATAAGAAATATCGATGATATCAAATAGATATCATTTCATAAACAAATCAGTTTTCCTTAGTATTCTGAATCATTATTAAATTTATCGCAGGAATTTAATTGGAATCGTGAGTTTTATCATAATAGAAGGTTCGAAATCGCTATTTACTGTACATCGCTATTGTTTTTTAAGGAAAAAGTATCTTATATTGCTATTGCACTTGGTGAACATTGCTTGAACAGTTCCTCCAGTGGCGTTAACGATATTCGTTTTATTTTAAAGTCTTCAATAACCAGCCAGTACTCTTAAATCAAAGAATAGTTAATAACACGGATGTTTAATCGTTTTATTAATAAGTAATACAAATATGTATAACCTCCGATTTGCGATTCATGATTTGATCACACGTGTTGTCTGTACAATCTATGTCATCATTTACTTAGCACTGGAACAAGGTTACGTGACGATAGGCACTAACAGGTGGGCCGGAATACTAGAAGGCTGACATAGACTAGATCACAATATCTCACGTGTGGAAATAACACGCATATTGGATTTGAACAGAAATGTATATCGTTGCATTTCAAATAGTATACATAAAGACCGCTAGATAGGCTTAGTTCTGTTTTAACTGAAAACTTTGACTCTTTAGTTAAAATTGTCAGAAATAAGCGTAAAATGTGGCCTTTTGCAAATATATTTTTAACGAATTCTTAATTTAACGAGTCTTTTAGAAGTAAGTCTTTATGTTTATTGCTTTCCAGTCGTTTCCTGTGCATATGTTGCAAGAAAAAAGATCGACAAAAAACGGTTCTCGGTGTTAAAAAGACCTAGTTAATATAATAATATATTTGGGTCATATGTGGTGCTGATACCGTAAAATATTTCTTTAACATAGATTTAAAATTACAATTATAACGTGCGCCCACCCCAAACTAAGCTATCGCATAACTATTTAGTCTCGCTTTGATTTCTATGCGCTTATATGGAGGTTACACTACTCGAGTTTTTCTTGTCCAACTAAACAGTTGAATTGGCTGCGAATATTGTTGTGCGATAGTTTAGTCAAAAGTGTGCACCCGGTCTTAATATATCTAAGCTTGCGATGCGATGCTGTTTCCAAGTATTTAATCCGCCATATTTAATTAGTCTCATGTTGAGTTTCTGGGAAACTATGCCCGCTAAATGAAGTCGCCCGCTCTGCAAACGGGATCTCACGGTTACTAACTTTTTTTTGCCTTTTTCATATCCTCTCGTATAAGGACAATAACCTCTAAGTTCATGTGTGTGTTTTTTTGTTAAATCTTCATTAGATTTTATATAGTAATCGACAGAAGATCACATTCTTGTTGCGAAACAGGTTATAAAATCGAGATCTTGTCAATTGTTTAATACTTTCAGGACAGTATTGTCTGCTAAATAACGTTATTTCCTATTTCCTGCCATCAAATTCCGAAAGCTAGAATACGATAAGGTTCTAATAGAAATGATTCATTGTCTGATTCATGATAAAAACCCTTGCGAAGTTTAATAAGGATATTAATATTAAGTATAATAGTTATTACCTTATTACAAAAATAAAACTAGTTACCATATAAATTCCTATTGCGATCGCGGATTTTTTAATTCTTAAGTCGTACGTTTTATGCGTTGATTCCCGGGTTCTATTTTTTGTTAAAAAAACCACTAACTAAGTGTAGTTCCAAAGGTGTTATTGTATTATATTCTATGATGCCAGAACAATCAGTTAGACATTTATAAGGATTGCTGCAGTCACCGAAATTATAATTGCAACGAAAAATTACGTTAACTTAGTTTCAAGTATTAATAAAAATAAGTAAAGTAAAACGCGAATATTATTCAAATAAAGCAACAAATAATATTATAATTAAATTAACCCACTTAACAGTTACGTGACATATATTTTTTTTTTTAAAACTTCGCATCGCATGGGAGATCAACAAACAAATCAAGCATAACTGTTTTCACACAAATACTACCGTTCACTTTATCGAACCGTTATCTTTTAGACTTACCTATCTGATTTGATGTCCCATTAACGTCGTCAGTACACTTAACACTGAATTGTTTGGGAACAATTAAAATAAATTGAATTTGTATAGCGGCGTAATGGCGCGCTCCGCGGACACGTCTGTCTCCGAGGACAACTAAGACGCGACGCGACGCCAGCGAGTGATGGCGTGATGACCGCAGCAACGGTGACCAGCTATTGCAAACTCGCGGAATGCATTTACACCGACAAGTATTAGTGTACCTGTCAACTTAAATATTTAGCTATCAAGTTTTCATGGGTTTAACAAACTTTTGTTAAATTACAGTAAAATAAAAGCTTCGTACACTAATGTAACGGATCTGATTATTAGTTTATAGCAAACCATTATCATACGTTACTCTTGCGACTTTTTAAGTTCGTTTCTATGTAAGTGGCGGCCGTCGCAGCCTCAGGATGACAGTGACCTCGCTCGTGTGCCTTTTCTTAGCTAAACGCACAGGCTGCTGAGCGAAATACCGTAAGACATCTTCCATCCGGCGACGATACACAGATATAAAATCAACATACGCCAATTGCCTGCTAATTATTTCCTTAGTACTTAGAACCAGTATCTTTTATCTATGTTTAGAACTTTTTAATTACAATTACTTTAAACTACAGCGTGTTTTTTTTGTAATTTATATTTTTAGAGCATGGTAATTTACTTTTTATAATTAAATTTTATACAATAATTTTACTCAGAGAAAGTCTTTGAAGATAGAACAGGATGAGTTCTGTGGCTGTTTGCAGTTAGCAGAATCGTAGCTCGATCGGAAGTTACTATCGGATTACAAGTTATCTAATTACTAACTGGGTTTTTTTTTTAATTAAAGCTAGTCTTTTTAAGTAAAACATTTCCGCTGGTATTTTTAAGGACGGCAAAAGTACCACTAATCTATTTATAGATATGATACCTACGAGTACAAACTTTGTAGAAGGCAGAGTACGAGATTAAGGGCCTGTCCCACCAAATTGTATAACAATCCAACGTGTAAAATATATGAGATATCGGATTTAGTTCCCTTATCTGACAGTAACGTCGTTATAAAGCTATTTGAGCCTGTATCAGCCAGTGGTGGGACAGGCCCTAAGACTGAAATAAAAATAAATTGGAGAGTAACAGTTTTATCAAATTAACTGAAGAACTTCAGGCTTCAGGCTAAAAACGGTAATTGTATAAAAATATTTGTACCGTTAGCCGTTTATCGTGTTAGTAGGTGAAGTTTCTGTTAACTATGTTGTTTTCTTTTTTCTTTTTGGAGAAGAATTATACAGTAATATAGGTCTAGAGTACATACGTTAACGAGGTCTATTACCCGGAGCCACGAGCAGGTGAGAGTAATAAATAAAACAAATTATTTTGGTATAATGAGAGTTTATTATAGGTAAATCTTAAACAAAGAACTTAAAATTAAAACAAAAACATCCACTCTGGAAAAGTAACATTTACTCCGTCATACTCGAATATTTTTCACATGGCAACATTTTATTGTGACACTTCCATTTGTTGCGGCGCGTCTGGAACAGATACAAAATAAATTGAAATATGTATGCATAAAAAAGATTTTGACAAAAGATCGCCTAATGATTAAGTTAATTCACTATAGTTAATTTATTTTAATTGACAACAATTACGTACCACCTGCTCCGTCATCGAACATGAACTCATCCTGGTATTCCTTCAGGAACTGCTCCGACCTGTGCTCGTCTAGGAACAAAGAGTACACCTTCTTGACATCCTCCATGCTCACCTGGAATACAATAAACACATTATTTTATTAACTCCGAAATGAAACGAACAACAAATTCCAAGTTACAAGACAACAAATTCCAAATTAAAAAAGTATTTTACCACATTGCACATAAACATTTTGAATCGAGATTTAGGGCTTGTCCCACAATTCTTGTAAATTGTCAGAAAACAATCCAACATCTAAAATATGTTATGGAAAAACCGGGTTTACTCTATTTGGCAGTGACGTGATTTTTGACCTATCTGAGTCTCTATCAGCCAGTGGTGGGACAGGCCCTTAACGTTATTTTACATTGTAGGGTAGGAAACGAAAAGTGACCACTTAAGTTCGCCAAAATAGCGACTAAACGGAGCTCATAGACCACAGATATTCACATTTATGGATGCGTTCTAACTTACCAGAGAGGAGGACGCACATAAGGAGGATACTTCTTCCTAAGCATTCTACTGGGGTAGAGGTTAAAGAACCAAAACTTGGCGTCTGGCTGTCTATATCGAAGCGTCAATGAAGGAAAACATTATGATGTAACTTGCACATCTGCTAAGAAATTCAAAGATAGTCAACCCGCAGTGCATAGTTGACTATGGTCTAGTCACCTATATATTAGAGATGAATCTGAATCTACCAATGGGGACATATATAAAGTGACGATATGACGTTAGTGTATAGTGAAATGTTTGTACCTCCGTGGCCTTTCTGCGCTTGGCGACGAGCGAGGCGGTGGTGATGAGTTGTATGGCGTACCGCAGCGAGGTCTCCGTGGCGACGCGCGTCAGCACAGTCAGCGCGTCTCCCGACATCTGACAGTCCTCCTCCTCACATCTGACACGAAATTAATAAATCTTTGTACCTCTTTAGGTATAGAGAGACCAAAACATGTTTTAGGTCAATGTTGCGACAACTAGAGTTTATGGTTTTCCGGGAGTTAAAACTCAACCCGTCCGTTGTAGGCTTTGTTATGTCAATATTGGCTGAGCCAGCATCTGAAGTGGTTGTACGATTATGTTGGCTTGTTTCTTAAAGTCTTAGAAGAGCACTATGGAATTGACATGTTTTGTCCAAGACAAAAATCCCCCCTTTCCCCAACAAAGATTAAAAAAAAAGAGTTTATGGTATAAAAACCTAGTAAACACCATTTAATAAACAAAACGAATTTGGTTGGAGTGTGTGTGAGAGAGAGAGAGAAAGAGAGAGAAGAGAGTAGGTATGAGATAAACTAGAATAACACACAGAAATAGTCAAATACTTTGGTTGACAATGGATACTACGGGTTATTATTATTATTATCTTTGCAATTGTTAGTAACACCTTGTGTTAATGCTTGGCATAATATTACTAAGTTACCTAATATTAAGTATCTCCTTCAACTCCTGCTGTGAGTATGGTGTAGTGGGCACTATGATCATCCTGTCCAGCAGGTCCAGTGGGATGCCGTGCGGACTCTTGTAGTTGGTGCCTCTAATCCTGGTGATACCGCGGTTGGTCGCCATCATCACGATAGGAGCGGTTTCCTGCTCTAACGCACGGTTCAGGAAAGAGAAGCACTCTATATCCAGCATGTGTGCCTGAAAGAGAAGATTAGATTTTTCTCTGTTATTATAACTTGACAAAACAATTAACTCACAAGAGACTTAAGCAACCCTGATATTATTGATTAATTTTACAGTCTTAATTATTTTATTTAAAACTTTAAATGTGTGGTTTCTTGGTCTCCTGTTGTATAAAAAAGTAAATTTCCTAGATAATTAGCTAGCAATGTTAACTTACTTCGTCAATAAAGAGTACTCCAGGTATCATCTCAGCCTTGCCCTCCTCGCGCCACTCCGCTACCTTGCTGTTGATCTGCTCGCGGATCTCAGACTTGATCTCACCAGTATCACCTGAGAAAATATTACATTGTATAACTTTTAAAAAATCATGCTAATATTATAAATGTGAAAGTTTAGATGGATGGATGTTTGTTAGAGTTTGTAGCCTTTTTTTAGCTTGGGAAATGCCTAATGTATACTCAACTTTATAGGGGTAAAGATAAGTGATGTTGGGCCTGCACCAACTAAAAACCACATGGTGGTCAGTTCACAATTTTCCATTATAATAGAGTAAACGATGTGATTTTTCAGTGTTATTTTTTGTGTCGAAAACCATTACACATACCAGAGAATAAAGCCAGGAATCCATGTGTCCTTGAATTGATGACATCAACCTCATGCAAGGTCACTGTATGGACAACTTCTTTGCGCTTCTGCAACTCTCCTTCAGGGCATTGTACAAAACGAGCTTGGTGACCTGGAGACACATAATAATGTTAAGTTGTTTTGTGATGTACTTTAAGTTGCCACAATATCAGTACTCACAATTTAAGTTAAATGTTTACTACATAGTATATAAAGACAATTACATTTACGGTGAAGGAAAACACATATCAGCAAAAAAATTTAAAGATACGTGTGAAGTCAACCAACCCACACTTGGCCAGCGTGGTTGACTATGGCCTAGTCACCCTAACTTAGGGCAGGCTCCGAGCCCCTCGGTGGGGATGTATAGTGAGCTGGTGTTGATGATGATGATGATTGATGAGGTACATTATGAGAGTTAAATATACCTGTAGCATCATAATCTCTGGCACGAGCAAAACTTCTGCCGAGCTTGTTTATCTTGCCTGTTGCTTTGTCTATAGTTATTACATCACCCGCTTGTACCTAAAATAAGACATCACATGTAGAAAATCTTTTCAATTGTGGTATAGAGGTGGTAAAAATCTTGACCACTTGGAACATTGTATGAGTTGCTGTGAAGGGCACATTTTTAGGTGCAATGTGGGGCTTACAGAGATAGGGAAAGGACCATGAAAACATATTTTAAGAACTATACCTTTTCTTTGAGTAGTGAGTCTATCATCTTAGTGCCCATGTCATAATTGGTCTCCATGTCAGTTGTCTTGAGAGTAAGCCGACCGACCCGTGCACCCCCAGTGCCTACCGCTCTCTCTATCACTACTTCCACCACTTCCCCCTCTATAATCTCAGATTCTTCTCTAAAAAAAGTAACAATTCAATATTGGGTGTATTTGTTTATTGTCATCATATAAAAGTGTTGTAAAGCTATTAATGTTGTAAAAGTAGTTTAAATGAAGGAAATCTTACTTGATTCTTATGCCAATAGATTTTCTGATAGCCTGTGTCAATGCTTCTGTTTTACTCATTTCTAGGGAATAAATTTCAGAACCTGTAAGGGAAATATATAAATTGAAGACTTATTGAAGTAGTTCAGTCTGCTAAATATATTTGCAACTTTGTCATGTTACCAAGTATTTAAATGATTGCAAATAACATACCAGCCATACTGGTGAATGGTGTGTCAGGACCCAGGGCCTGTGCAAGGCCCATTGCAATAGCCGTCTTGCCAGTTCCAGGCTGACCAGCTAAGAGAACAGCTCGCCCTGCTATTTTTCCTAGAACCAAGGCTTAATTTAAAGTTCGAGCTCAATGATGAAGTTCAACAAACAAATTTCAATTTATCCATTTCAATCAACAAGTGTAAACTGCACATTTTTTCTTACTTTAATTATAATCATCTAAAACCTAACCTATAAATTACTGGTTACTATAGTAACCTGTCAGTTTATTCAATAAATACCTTCTCGAATCATCTGCAAAATAACACCGGCAGCTTTCCTCGCCATCTTCTGGCCCACCATTCCTTGAGACACTGCTCTTGGCTCCAAGGAATCATCTAAACCGAGTCCTCGTATGTGAGAATGGGCGCCAATCCTTTCAATGCGTGTTATAGAACGCACTTCTTGTACTTGGGCTGCTGCTATCGACTGTAAAAATAATTCATTACCTGATTCCGAGGATTTTATAAGTTTTACTATTTTTACATGATTTTGAATTTAAGAGGTTAGGATAATGTTATAAGCATTATATTAAAACTGTAATTACTGATGACCATAAAAGCTTACCGCCATTTTGTCGTTTTTGTAGCCGGCAATTTATATTCACAAAATAATTATTTGTATTCGCTTTAAAACTTTATTTTATTTTCCAAGCGACCAAAGCAAACACCGCGACCAAAAAACAAAAACACAATGTGACACAATGCAATGTTGCCACTTATGAATTCAAATAAGTGTGAAGATCAAAGAGTAAAATAACCCTTAAATTGAACGTCACTATTTCGTATGGCCAAATTGTTAACGTTGTGGATTGTGGACCCAGTAAATTGCTTATCACCCAAATTAATTTAACGGCTCCGGCGCGGCGTGTCGTATTTATCTCCATGCAAGGCAAAGAATTCACTTTAAACAATATGTGCCGTGCACCCAGATAAACATGTGTTTCTTATAACTCCTACTCCTGCTGGTAAGGACCACCTAAATTAATTTTTAAATTTGTTTTCTTTTGATAAGTTAGAGAAAATGACGGAAGAGATGAAAGTAATGTAATTTTTACCATTAACGAATCGGGTTTACTTGCGTTAAACGAGAATGGGTTATTATTATTGAAATAAAAATCCTGTTTAAAGAAAACAGTTTAATACTTCCTTTGTAATTATTTAAATCAATACTATCATTAATAAATTGATACATTCTTGTAAATTATTCATAAGTCACAATTAAATTTCATATTAACGAAACGCGTGTCTCTCACCGCTTGCACCCATGCGGATTGATCAAGCGTTTCATTATTACAGAAAAAAATAAGTTATTAATTACGTCTAGCTATCAAAAAAAAGTATTACAGTCGCTGATATTCCTAAAACATTTGAAAAGGAAGTCGGAAATATCGTAATTCGGTCGAATATTAAAACTTAACTTAGAAATATGAACTCAATGCTCGAAATTATTTTTAACACAATAAATAAACATGAAATAAATAAAACTATTTACTATGTCAGAAAATTGTAAGCAAATTCAAATGTATTATTATTTATTGCATTTACATCATTATATAATAATTCATTAATATTATTTAATACTAATTTGGCATTTATTTAACACTGGCAAGCTGGGCTTCTGGTTTTAAAAATAAACCTTTGGATAATCAGGAACTAAAAAGTGCAAAATCACACACAAAGTTAAAATCGTACGATATCCCTCGTATAGCTTATGTAACAATCATATTATGACTAGTCAAACTTAAAATTAATAAAATTTAACATTGGTCGTTGTGCCATTTTTTTAAATGTTTTAAATATTTTTCAATTTTTTTAACACTTTTATATTTTCTTTTTCTGATATCGATCAAATACAATAATTACGTATTACCGATATTGTATTTGATCGTGCAGAAAATATCGTCGCAATCTGTATTGTCGGTGTCAATTGAAGGCGTATTTTCATCGATCTGCAAACAAAAAGAAAAAAATAACATATTGCCATATTGCGGCTATCATACAGGAAGTGATGTACAAAAGAAGGCGTTGAAGCGTCATCATAGCTAATAGGGCCATTTCCGTTTACCATAGACAAACTTATATCTCAATGTGAACAAGTGTTTACATGTGTAAATACGCTCTTTACCAACTCAACAATTTAGTTTACATAGACTTAACTTGTTGAGTTATAGCTCAACAACTAAATACAATACATACGTACGTCCACTAATTAGTTTTCTTAGTATCCTTGGTCTCCTCTTTCGGCTGTCCCTTGCCGAGCAGCTTGGCGAGCGAGTCCCAAATACCGCCCATAAATAGCGCGCAGAACAGATTTTCGAACGGCACGAACGGATCGTGTATGCCCAGCAGAATTGATGACAACTACGGAAAGTAAATTATTATAAAACAAAATCCAATAATACTACACTTAGAATATGAATAGAAGGACACCGTTTAGGTGAGGAGGTGAAGTGGTCACAATTAAAAGGAGAAATTAGAAAACTTAATAAAAACATTTGCCCTCCTTAGTTTGATAGAAACAATTAAAATTTAATGATTATTTCACATATGATTTACACAATATTCTGCTTATGTTATTTATTAAATGTATATGTATAATAGTAAGATTATCTTTACCTTAAAGTACACGAAGAAAATAACAATTCCAAAGTAGACGAGGGCGTGAGGTGCCGAGATCAAATCCGTCTTCTTGTCCAGAACAAAGATCACTGAAGCCACCAGAGATGCCTTTGTGTAGCTAAAAACCAAATAAAGCAATTAAAACACTTTCAATCAATAAAGAAATATGAAAATAATCTATGTTTTACTTACAAGCTCGGCTGCATGGTCTCCATAGCAGTAGGGGTCCACGCGCCGCGAACCAAGCGCTCGATCAGCTTGGTGAAGCCAGCTCCATTACCCTTCAATGTTCCTAAAATCGAACAAAATCTTAAGTTTTGTGTTTTATTACACAAACCAAGTCATTATAATTAATTCGTAATTAATTTTCGAACCCGACCGCATATGCACTGACGCTTTTTAACGCCGCGTTAATAATCGGCGTTAGAATAGCGACAAATGCTTCAAAATAGCTCTTGTTACTATCGCCCAATGCAGAATCATGAAAATTGTGTGTGATGTTAATGGCAGTAAAAGTTATGGAGTTTCAAACATTTTCTAAAACTTAATTTGTTACATACCGACAATAACCATAATGATGTACGCATTGGGGTACAATTTGGCGGCATGGCTGACACCGTCGTAAACCTTCTTCGCGCGATATATCTCCTTCATAGCAGCCGCTGTTACTTTCACCGGTAAGAACTTCGCCACTTTATAGCCCACATCGAATGGCGTGTAAAATACTAAATACCTAAAAAAATATATACAAAAAAAGTTAGGTTTGACTTCGCTATTTGTTTACCAGTGTAACAAATATTATGATATAAAGTTTACCATGTAACTGTTCCAATGAGGAGTTGTGGCGTGTTCTTAAGCGGGGCAAGGATGGGCTCGCCGAGCAGGCCATTGGCCACCATCCCACCCGCGAAGATCACTAACATCGTTGAAAGCCAACATGCCAGGGGATGCTTTCGAGAGAACGCTTGAGCCCCTGTAACAAAGTTACAAATACAACTTGAAACCATATACAAAACAACTACAGTATGAAGCAATACAGCAAGCACAATTTGTTCACATTGCATAAAACCGATTTCACTTTATTAGCGTAATAAATAACAAAACCTTTTTGTTGATTTTTGGACAGAAGTGACACAATCTTTGGATCACTCTGTTGCAATTGTTAATGTTCTTTTGAAAGGTGGAATAAACACACTGTCCTTTCAATCACGCGAAGGCTTTAATTGTTAAAGGTTTTTCCACTATTCGCGTCGCGTATCCGTTACTTCGCGCCATTTCGTTATCTTATGATCTAATTATTTAATCCCTTCCAATGTGTACGTTTTGCTATTTTGTATCTCTTTGTCACTAAAAATCTAAAAAACGAGAGCAAAGCAAATATATTCAGTGAAAAATGTAAAAGAATTCTAATGACCACATTGCTGATCAAACTACGTATAAACTAACGAACAAATTCGCACTCCCTACAACCGGCTCGTTGGTCTAGGGGTATGATTCTCGCTTCGGGTGCGAGAGGTCCCGGGTTCAAATCCCGGACGAGCCCAAGATAAGTTTATTTTTGTTCCTCAAATTAATGATTCGAATACCTAATTAGCATGCTATTTTTGTGCTCTTACATTCTTACTATCAAATCACTCGCAAACAAACTTTTTCATCGGTTTTTGTTTTAATAGCTATTTTAGTTATGCGCCATCTATCTTTCATGAATAAAATGTTCATGGAAATCATTTTCATACAACTGAGTATTTTCGAGAAAGGTTCTTATCTCATACCTAACCTATATCCTGACCAAATTATACAAATATGTAGAGTGCATGTAAATTATCAGATAAATTTTAACAGATTATTCCTTAAATTTGGTAGAGCATGCAGTAAAATAATCACGAATGATAAATTAAAATACATTTTATGTGTCTAAAATATATGAAGGCTCAATTTTAGTCTATTGATAATTGTATTACTTAAAAAAACAAACTAAATCATGGTTTTATATCTAAGTAAAATTGTAAGTGACCATTGAGATCCTTAGCTATTACAGTATTTAAGACGCGGGGAACAAATCTATTTTTAAACTGAATCGGTGCTTTTATTTTTGTATAGCGCTGCCTCAATACAAATTTACTTTCTACATAGTAGCTATTCGAGGATGCGGAAGTTAATTATATTAGCGGCATTGTTTAAAACAAATAATTCTCCACTTACCAGATCCTAAATCTTCTCTGACTGCTAAGGCGCACAGTAAAGAATGTGCGACATCAAAATAAGGATACATTTTCAACTTTATGACCTGGTTGGCCAAATCTAAGAAGGCTTCGGGATCCATGGTGTTTGTTTTTTCGAAATCACACTATTTCTAATTAATTTTGGTACAATTTAACACCGACAATAAAGTGACACGAAATACCCGTGTCTGCGACTATTCGCGGGCGTTGTAGCCGCGAGACTGGCGGGGCGGGGGACTGGTTGGACGCGGAGAACGAACAGAATTAAATTTTAATGAGCGCTTTGTAGACTATTCTTCCAATATTATTTTATTCAAGAGTTGTAAAAGTAATAAGCTTATTATTTTAGGTTATAATATAATTTGACATCCTTCATTTATTATTAAATCTGACAATTTTTTTTTTAATTTTAATGTTTCTAAATTTGCCATGATGTCAATGAGTTTCCGTAGTGTAGCGGTTATCACGTGTGCTTCACACGCACAAGGTCCCCGGTTCGATCCCGGGCGGAAACAGTCTTTTTTTATGAACATCATTGAAATGAAATTTGTTTCTAATTTGTGCATTAGTTAAAAATTCCTTTTGCTCAACAGCAAATATATTTCAGTAGATTTTAAGACGTGCGGTTGTTATAAAAAAAAGTCGTCAATTTTTCTTACATCATATATTCTGAATATACAACAATGCTTCGCAAGTTATAAAAATTATAAAACCTACGTCCACATTATACGAAATGTATAATGTGGACATTTTAAGCTTAAATAAGGACGCGTGCACATAATTTCTCTTCAGTCTTCATTTATTCGAAACACAGCCAAATTACTTTGGGAAAAGATGCGAGGGGTGTCAATTTAAAAGTAACACTAAAAAAATTACACATAAACAGACAAAAAATCGCACAATATTTAAGGCACATTGAAACCAGGCCCAAGACGCTGTATATGTGAAAGATATAGAAAAAAAAAACACTCTTATAAATTTTATACAATAAATCTAAAACATGTTATGCTCGGATAAAAAAAATATAAGAGATTCTTCTTACATATATACTTCTTATGTTGGCACTTCGAGCAGCAGAGTACAATCAGCTCCATAGATATGTAGACAAAACAAAACTTGAGAAACTTTTATAGACGCTAGGAAATAAAAACACTTATCCACGCATTTATGGAGCAGACTGTACTTTTATTCCCGAAGTGCCAAATCAACAGTCTGTTTTATTGTTTATATATTATTTATTATTTTACGTATTTATTTTAAGAAAATTAATTTTACAAACAATATGATATATCTATAATGCATTGATTTAGTGATATTAGGAACAAACAGTTCAGTGGGTAAATCAAATATTTTATAGAACTTAAAAATAAGCTTAACCTTAAAAATAGGAACACCAAAATTAAAAATAATTTTATGTCATAGTTTTACATCGACATAATTTTTTTATCAAAGACATATAACCTAGTGATGAACAGTTTACAAAATGTAATTTTTTATTGTGACAACATTAGGAGAATAATCCCAACAAAAGGTTTTCGGAGGCCGTTTTTTGCGTCACTTATGTGCTACGGTTTAGGTATCTTTCATACAAATATTATAAATGCGAAATTTTAGATGGATGGATGTTTGTTATGACATTTTAGCCTAAATGGTTGGACAGATCAGAATAAAATTTAACACAGACGTAGAACATAGTCTGAAAGAACACATAGGCTACTTCCTTATTTAAAAAAAATATACTCGGAGAGAGTCGCGGGCAAAAGCCAGTAGAATATACATCTATTTTATATTACGAATCACCTTCACTACTATGATGAAAATTAGGGTCGAAGCGTAATATTAAAAAAAATCGTTTCTTATAATACGATGATTCTAAGAGTTCAATGGGTGTTACTTATACTAAAACACTGTTGTCTCATATTATTGCATAGATAATTATGGAGATGCCAATACAAGTATCGACGGTGGAGTCAGTAACAAAAGCACTTTATTTGGACAGATGTTGTGGACGCAAGGGAATAAACATTACATCGCATTTCGTGATTATTAATATTTGATGACTTACGAATACTAAGTTTAAATACAAGTTAATTCTACGTCACTTAACCCACTAATCTACTGATCTTTATAAATGGAGAGGTTTTAAGATAATTTATTTAATTCCCGTTGTTTTGGATCTAAATATTAGAACAAATAGAGATAAAATTAAATGTTAGTAACAGCAGAAAACCTGTTAAGTCGGAACGAAATCATTGTTAACCATGACAATCAATCAATCAATAAGTTGAGAAGATTCATAGCACGACGAGGAACTCCAGCTACAATATATTCAGTCAATGGAACTTCGTTTGTCGGAGCGAATCGCTTTCTTAGGGAAGCCTTGGCCAAATTTTCTTCAGCACGAGGAATAAATTGGAAGTTCATTGTTCCGGCAGCACCATTTATGGGCGGAGCTTGGGAGCGACTTGTGCGTACTATAAAGTACGCCCTTTCGGCTACGTTACGCGAATGAAAACCGAAGGAACAGGTGTTTTTAACATTGTTGGCTGAAGCTGAAGGACTAGTCAACTCTCGTCCGCTAAATCACGTCAGCGTCGAGGCTGACACTCCGGAAACAATTACCCCATTCCACTTTTTATTAGGGGAATCCTCTCCATATCACAGAACCGCCGAGCTCTCTGACGATGACCTGATTGGGAGAATGTGTTGGAAAAAGGGACTTCGACTTGCAGATCACTTTTGGTCAAGGTGGGTCAAGGAATATCTACCAACCCTAGCACCTCGGCCTAGGACCGGCACACCGCGACCACTTAAAGAAGGGGACCTGGTTCTGGTGGTAGATGGTAACCTTCCTCGGGGAGTTTGGCTTAAAGGCCGCATTTCGAAAACCTTCCCCGGGAAGGATGGTGTAGTTCGGGCTGTCGAAGTCGCCACCAGTACTGGGGTCTTAAAGCGCCCAGTGCGTAAGTTAGTAATAATTTAATTTTCGTTTGTGTAAGTGCGTAAGTTAGTTATAATTTAATTTTCGTTTGTGTAACCTAGTTAAGTTATAACTTTGATTGTCTTAAACATGCTTTATTTTTAGTGCATGCCCATCCTGCCCATGTACATACAATGTTGTTTTTTTTCCTTATTTTTCTGTCTTGTGACATCAGGGGGCGGGCATGTTGGCGATGCAATATTCCTTTTTGTTTTTTATTTTTAATCCTTTTTTTAAAATAAGAATGTTTATTTTTTATTAATTCTTTTGTAAATAATTGAAGCAGCGTTGGAGCAGATGTCACAACGCTAGGCTGAAATGTATATATTTTTTTCTTAATTTGTAAATTTTATTAAAAGTTGTTTTTGGTTTATTTCTTATTTATTTTACTCGCGCGTACCTTCCCGTACAAGATCGTCTCTTTCAACCTATCCATTTATACAAATCAATGTACTAGTCACATTATAAATTATAGTCAAAGAAGGATATGTGGGTCTGTGTAGTTGCTGCAATCGCTTAATTCTATCAGAATATGTGTAAAACCTACTTAGACTTGATATTTTTTATTAAGTTTTAGTAGGTTGAACATTTTTTGGAATCTCTGATCAAATATATTTCAGTTTCCTTGTGATCTCTAAAATAAACAAATTGATTACTTTTGATCAGTGAAATTCAATTTGCAGTCGTTTAAATTGTTAATTTAGTTCGGTATTGTTGTCTATTTCTTATATTACTACATTAATTGCTGCCAAATCCCAATTATGTTTAGTAAAAAATATTCTTACATAGTAATATGTAAATAGATCTCACTTCAAGATTTTCCAGGGCTCTTATTCGGTGATTTTACTGAGCAATCTGTAAAAACAAAATAATTGACAATTTAATGATATAGGGACATTGATATAATCTATACATATAATAAAATTGGAGTGTCTGTTGATGGAGTGGAAGATGATGTATTTGCGTGGCTGATAACAAAAATCACATCTTAAAATCTCCGAAACGGTCGGGTCAATTTGGACCGGAAACTGCACGGTAGCTGACATAGACGGGCATATTATAGGCTACTTTATATACATGGACAAAGTCGCGGGGAACAGCTAGTTTTGGATTAATAAGAATCAATTTTTTTTTTAAATAAAATTTTTAATTTAAATAAAATCAAATAGTTTTTATTTGATTACATAAAAAAGGGTTGCTTAGTTTGATAATCATTTTAGTTATATATTTTATCAAAATTAACATACTATATACCTTTATCTGTGCTCGGTGTGGAGCACACTTTCTTACCATTAGCTGGAACAAAACATAAAATAGTTTAAACACTTTGCCCTTTTATTATAATATATTAGTGGTTGGTTTGAGAGTAGCCCTAGTAGTAGTGAAGGTAAGGAGTAAAAGGTTAGCATGGTATCGGCATATTATGAAGGATGAATCGCATGTTACAAAGAGAACGTTAGTTATGAGTGTGGAGGTACACCGGTAGAGGGGTACCTAGAAAGAGATGGATTGCGTGAAAGGTGACATGATCAAGAAGGGAGTGACTAAGATGACGTATGATAGAGTTTTGTGGAGGACAAAAACCTATTGCGCCACTACGGGAGTAGGATAAGGAGAAAGATGGTTATATAAGTGGTTGAAGACACAAAACATGTGATTTTGTACAAATATCTATTTATTCAAATGTCACTATGGAAGACAATATCATCTTTATTCTTGCGTTTTTTTGCTACATTAAATTTAAAATTAATTATAATTTAAAAAATCACTTACCCATACCAGGCTTATGCAATACTTGTCCTGCTTTATTATTGTGCTGGAAGCTTTTTTCGCTCTGAATTAATCGAAAACTTTCATCCTTTGCTGACATTTCTTCACACCTATCCTCATTTATCGCATTATCTCTATGGTTGTTGTCTATATTATTCTCATCTGACGAATGAATTTGACAGCTGTCATTTTGATATTTGATCTCACCGGAGACGTCATTTTGCACAACTTCTTGTTCGGAATCCGCATCGTCAGCGGATTGATCGCTTTTTGCGCTCATTGGGTTAGTTAACTGTAATATTAAAATATATTTACGTATTGAAACAATACTACTTGTGCGTTGCGTTCATAAACTAATGGGTAATAATTACTTGGAGAACTTTAGTTCAAATTAGAAATGACTACCAAATGTTAAGATGATTTAAAAAAACACAGTTTAGACTGAACTTCATCTTATCAAGTGGGTTTGTGAATTTTTTAAACCTTTTCATAAAACATTTTATTTTCTTACCGTATAACTGGAATCATCCTCGGAGTCAGCTTGCAATTCTACCATCATTTTCTCAATGAGTCTCTCCATTGTGTCACTAGTGGTTGCCACCGGGCTCGCCTCCTGTCTACCGTGCTTGTTGCGCTTCACTACCTACAAAAACACATAACATACATAAGTGGCTCTCAAGTCAAAGTATTATTATTAATTAATTTTAAAAGGTTTTATTTTAAATCAATAAAACCTTTTAAAATCGCTCATTTTATAAAAAAAAACTAGCTTTCGCCTGCAACTCCATTCGCGTGGAATTAAAGAAACAAAAGTGAGGCTATGTATTCTTCCGGGCTATTCTCTCACCGAAATCTGTTTAGCCGTTTAGGCTATAAACTCTAACAAACATCCACCCATCTAAACTTTCACATCTTACTAATCTTACTAATATTATAAATGCGAAAGTTTAGATGGATGGATGGATGGATGGATGGATGGATGGATAGATGGATGGATACATGGATGTTTGTTAGCGTTTGTAGCCGAAACGGTTGAACGGATCTCCATGAAATTTACAAAGGTTTAGAGCATCGTCTGGAAGAACACATAGGTTACTTTTTATCCCGGGAATAGTTACGGTTACCGTAGGATTCATTAATTTAGTTTTTTAATGTTTACTCGATCATTCTACAACGGTTCAACATATCTTATTGAAATTTGGCACAGATATAAAACAAAGTCTGGAGTACATATGGGATAAGCGTCATCCCCGAGAAATGTCCGGTTCCCGAGGGATACGTAGCTTTTTGTAATTTATGTAGTTTGTATGTTTTCTAATACCACGCGGACGAAATCGCGGGCAACAGCTCGTTTATAATATTAGTATGAAGTATGATAAAAATCTTACCAGGACTTCATCATTATTGCTGACACGCGTGGTATTATTGTTATCGTAGTTGTGTCGGCGGCGGAAGCACATCGTGAACTCGAACAGCGACTGCACGCTGCTGCACCACGAGGTGGGCTGCGCGGGGCCGCGCGCGCGCAGCGCTCTGCTGCCCTGGTACTTCAGGGTGCGCAAGTATCGCCGCTTGCCTTGGATATATGTCACCTGAAAAAAATACTTTAGAAGTTGAGTATTTTATACTAGCTGTTGCCCGCGAATTCGTCCGCGTGGATTTAAAATTTAACCTCACAGTTAAATGACCATTCTAATCTTACTAATATTATAAATGCGAAAGTTTAGATGGATGGATGGATGTTTGTTAGAGTTTGTAGCCTAAACGGCTGAACGGATTTGGATCAAATTTGGTATTTATGAAGAGCATAGCCTGGACGAACACAGACTATTCACTTTTGGTGGTGAAAACCAGTGTTGAAATAATTTTTAAAATTGGCCCAGTAGTACAAATTTTTCTTTGTAATATTGGTATAGATATAGAAAGGCATAAAAAGATCTGGTATAGTAACTTATATATCAAAGTGTTTAAATATTTTTCTTGAATATAAATACATAACAAAGAAGACTAATATAAAAGAATCAAAAGTTCAATGTAGCATTTAAATAACACACTATTTAAGATCAAATAGTTGACAAGTTCACATATATTTTGGTTATTTGCTTACCACATCAGCTGATCTCAACGGCGGTTTGCCCAACACCAAGTTGATGAGGGATATCGACTCTCTGGTCACTCGGAGTACAACAAGCAGCATCAAGAAGAACACCCAGGGTAGGGGACGAATTAATTCTGGCTGCGGACGTTCATCTTGGTCCACTGGAACGAAACGCACAGCATTTTTAATTAAAAAAAATATATATATAAAGGACATCCCTTTTTAAATACTTCTGTATCACTATAACGCACCGTCAAATTATCTCATCCAATAAATTAAATCAAATAAAATGCATATTAGGATCCATTAATACCATAATATTCAAATTTATAGCCAACTAGTTTCTGCCCGTTTCGTCGTAGAATTAAAAAAACAAAAGAAAGTAGCCTATGTGTTCTTCCAGACTATGCTCTAAATCTATGCCAAATTTACTCGAGATCAGCTCAGCAGTTTAGGCTGCAAACATGCATCTAATCAGTCACATTTATAATATTAGTATGAAGTATGATACGTTTTTTGGTAAGTGCAATTCGATTGTATCCGACTGTGTTAAAGCTATTTACGTATTTCAAAAATAATTACATGGTGGTGGCACAGCCCATCGCGCGCTCTTCTCTATCGTCCACAGCAATCTGTCCGCCTGGCGCAGCATACTCTGTCCGAGACGGTAGCTGGCTGCATACTCCGCTACGCTGTGTAGCATCTCCTGGATGAATCCCAATACCTCCATAGTTACAGTTGTACTACAGCTTGAAAGCTGATGAAAGCAAACCTAAACGTGTGAACTGTTGACCATCACAGCTGTCGATATCTTTGCTAAAAAAAAAACAAAGATAGTCTTGTCATTATATTTTAAAACTAGAGAAATATTAAACCCCGATCCCAAAGTTTGTTAGACAGGCGAAAGTCATGTTATTAACGATCTAAAATCTAATTTAAAAAAACAACATAAATCACAGACGATTGATTATTATCGGAACTAGATAGAGTTTTCTTGTATTAAAAATATATATGTTTATTAATTTAGATCTTGTAATATTAGAACGATATTTACCAATTAAAAGAATATATTACAAATTAATTTATTATTATCGAAGTGTATAAATTATAATTTAACAAATACGATAACATATCACTCAGTACAAAAAGTAAATTATGAACTTTTAGACATTTACTGACCACTTAAATAATTATTACTTGTGCAAAATTGAATATTACTCACAACTCATGTGCGTGTCCGTCGAATAAAAAAAAACCGAGAGTGCGTCGTTATCATTAAATTTCACTCAAGTAATTCATCAGGGTTCCCACTTGAGAATATAAAAAAAATCAAAAGAAAAAATAAACCTAATTTTAAGATCTTTATCTTTAGCTTTTGTAAGCCCTTAATTTATAACACTAAATGTCTCATGGCCATTGCCTTCTGCCACCAATTAGGCGCAATAAATTTTTCACTAATTATTCCAATTGGAATTCACTGAACACTCGAAAATAAAATCAGAAATTTAGTAATTCGTCATTACAATGCTTATAAAACTCACTATTATTCGATTTATTTGATGAGAAAGATAATACAATAAAAATGTACGTAAAATCTCATATAACGACTTGGTAGTGTGCTTTTAATGCGAGCGAACGGCACAATTGACGCGGCAAAGGGCTCAAAGTGCTCGCGTCCACTTACCGAATGAATGACTCGATTTGATAATAACAAGTTTATCGTTTACCTATCATTTGTACACATTGTCGTGCGATTTACTTGTTTGAGGAGCAAAGGTTGAACTTTAGTGTACTTAAGTATTAGGCGAGTCCTAGATTCAATCCTTGAAATTTAAATATTCCGTTAGGCCCATAAATAATATAAACTAGGTGAAATACTTCGTAATGCACCCCTATGGTATTTACTAAGTTAAAATACGTTTTTTATTCATCATTTACTAGTTATCCAAATTCTTTAAAATAATATTTTTTTCATCTATTCTGTTATTCCTTTTAAATATCAAATGATACTTTCTAAGAATATTTTGTAAGCAGTTTACACTAAAAAATATTAAAAACATTAAAATTGAATTATTCAATTAACAAACAACCCTAATCAAAGTACTAATGAGTGCAGGAGTGGACATAAATATGTCATTTTGACTTCTTTATACCTTGTTGATAATATGAGCTGCAAGGGGCATAGGTCGCTGCAATCGTAGAGATATCACAGAAGGAATATAATATACTAAATGTAATTAAACACCATTCAGATATACACTGTATTGCACACCTCCTCTGTTATTCAGATTTTAATTAACGAAAAATGTTACTGAATTTAATAATGACTTTTGAATTCAATCTTTTTTTATAAAGCCTTTGCTTGCTTCATCTACGCTGAATTAATAAGAAACTTTACTTTACAATCCTCTTTAGCTTCATATAAGTGGTTAAATATTAAAATTATACTGTTTGAATAATTGATTGGTAGTTTAACACTGACAAAAATATGTATGTTTAATTTTTTTTTTATAACTGTTGCAAAGTAGCAAAGAAACATAACATTTTCCTGTATAATTCAAGGTCATACATAATTTACATGTTTACTGGCCTTGGTTATGTGATTCTAAATAATTTTTGTAACAAAATAAAAAAGATTTGTTATGTAAATATAATGATATTGAATTAGCTTGTTACACCTTGGCCAAGTCAAAGGCCAAAGTTCTTAAGGAATTACATTGAAATCACACAATTTGCTGCAATTATTTTTCTGTAACTACTTTAATCAAATGCTTTAAATTTTCTAATATTTGTAATTATTTGGGGTTTAATGTAACTATGAATTAATTTTCATAGAATGAACATAATTCAATTATTCTAGGTGTTAAAAGTGAAAAATTTAAAGTTTCAGGAAATGATACAATGATATTCTTTTGGTATGAATTATGTCAGTTATCTTAGTGTATCACTCAAAAATGTATAAAGCCTATAATAGTGACTGAATGTGACTAAACAGATTTGCCAGTAGCTCTCAAAAGATTATCTAATCTAACGAAAATTTTCCAATTGTAAAAAAAGGGTTTGGCATGGTTGTAAGATTATAACATATTGAGGTTATTTAAACACGTACCTATAGCAGATAAAATAAATTGCATGCGTTTTTTTAAATCCTATTGGAAATTTCACCTATATTTGTCCCGAATTTAAAACAGTTACAAAATTTCAAAGTTCACTGATAAACAAAATACAAACAATACAACGGGTAATTAAAATAAATCATTTTATTCCTTTAATAGACATTTTAAACACCGGCATTGTAGTTCCATGTGTTACACATAGATAAACTACTAAATAGAACAGGATTTTGCAATGCTTAATGAAGGCAAACGATTGTTACGTACTCAAACAGTTAAATAATTCAATAAGAAATAAATAATTGATTTAAATCGAGTTACAAATCTTACCTATTCACTTGTTGCGTGAACTGCTTTCTCGAAAAATATCTTAATGCATGTGTTATGTAAATAAGTTAAATATTAACTAAATCCAAATGAAGCGATTTAAAAGCGCAATTTACTAATCTTTAAAGGAATATATGAGTAAAAAATTGAAATCAAACAAATTAAAGAAAATTGTCTTCGCTCTTCACAAAATGTAAAATCCAAAGATTAAGTAAATAAACATTTTTTGAGATGTCACAAAATGTCAAACTTTTCCACAGAAAATATTGTTTGTGCTTTTGTGCTAAAGTAGAATGCATTATTTATACTACGTATTATTTCCTTCATCAAAACAGGTACCGTTTATAATGCTTTTTTTTAGTAAACGAGACCGTAACATTTTAAAAGTTTCATTTGCAAAAGTAAATATTAGTATTTGCGGCTCACTAGCGCCAATTCCTTTTTGATGAAGTCTTACGTACTCTTTGTCAATGGCATTTTTATTTTTATTTTAGGGGGAACATTTCAGTGGCACTGTAGTATATTTTTTCTAATATTGTTGATTTAAACTAGTATTATAAAATTTGAAATGAGAAAACATGTGTAGAGTTCAAAGAATATTAGTAAAATAATAGTAACATTACTAGTTTAATGTTTGGTGAAAACAAAAGTAATTTTGTTATTCACAATTATACAATGTAGAGGTAATGGAATCCTTAGACGACTCCAATTGTCCCTCAATGAGTGATGGTTTATCCTTATACGAACGTTATATGCGGAGTTTTAACGTGGTGGATAAATTTGTGGAAGAAAATAATCATTTAGAGCAAGTTGAAGTCCGGTCATCAAGCACTTGTGATTACGAAAGTTCCAACAGTGGGGGTAACATTGACTTGTCAGCTGCTATTCAAGCTGATGTAGATAAACATAGTACTGGACTGGAAGTGGACTGCAATTCCTTACAACGCCTGAATGATATTGCTAGTTTCGCATACAAGCCAAATTTCGGTTCCGACGGTGATCGACCTAAAGCGGAATCGTCTTGTATTTCTTTGTCGGGGTCATTGGTCGAGACCTCGTCCGCGACAGCAGAACTTTGTCTTTTGAATGATAAATCAGACTTCGTCGAGACTGACGGTCGCCTGTCTTCGGACTCTAAATCGGAGAGTTTTAAACACTCCGTATTTATAACCTCTACAATGGAGAATAGTAACAATGCAGTGGATAGCGTGCCAATGTTCCGTGACATAAGACATTCTGAAAATGTTTTCAAATTACCAATAAGTGAGCTATCATTTAATGGTACAATCAAGCATGTTCAAAAATTGAAGCCAATTGTAGATCCCTTGACAGCCTTGAGCACTGTGAATGTGGGGTTGGATTTGTCAGATAATGGGTCAGAGAATACAGATTGTCCAGCAGGCAGTAGTGTAAGTGATAAGCTAACTGCAGACAAATGCAGTTACCAACAAACCAGTGATGTGACTGATGATAGGTATACATGTGACAGTGAGAAAATTGATCAAACAGCTGAAAGTAGTAGAGATTCTCAGTATGAAGATGTTAATTATAAAAAAGATTGTGAGGACAGCAATGCTAAATGGAATTTAGAACAAAGCTACTCATCTATAGAGACATCATTTGATAGTGGGGTTAGGTCTCCTGATATGTTCTCTGATGAAGAAGAGGAGCCTAGTCCAGCTCCTGAACCATTCTGGAATTTTATTAAAGATTTTGAAGCTTATGACAAAAAGAAAGTTAGAAAGATTGAGGTAAATCTGTTTACATTACTTTAGTGTTTTTATTACAAATAAAAAGGTCAACTTAAATAATACATTTGTGTATTATCTCTAAGTTCTATGAGTAAGTCACAAATTATTACTATAAGTATTTGCAGAAATGTTTTCATATCATACTAATATTATAAATGCGAAAGTTTAGATAGATGGATAGATGTTTGTTAGAGTTTGTAACTTAAACGGTTAAGCGGATTTCAATGATATACATGTAGAGGATAGTCCGGAAGAACACATAGACTACTCATTTTTGTGTTTTTTAATTCCACGCGGACGGTGTCGCGGGCGAAAGCTAGTAAATTTTATTTTTACATACATTTATGTTACAGGAGACTCTTCAAGGACTTTTACCACCTCCTTCAGTGACTACATTAAAAACAGATGTAACAGAAATGCTTAAAAAGTATTACTGTTTCCTTCCTGCATTTAATGATGATAAAAAAATCAACACTTTAGAGGTTAATTCAATGACACCCACCAAAAAGGTTTCATTTATCCACATTCCAACAACTTCAATGGAAACTGATGAAATACAAGAAAATTCATCACAAGTAAATGCAAGGAATAATAACAGTAATATAGACAATTCTGAATTAAATACAAGTGTTAATGACAAGAGTATAGAATTGAAAATGTGCACAGAAATTGAAGTAAAAGATACATTATGGCCAGATTTAATAAAATGCAGATATTTTGATGTATAGTAAGTAAAAAGTTTAAATCTATTATTAGTACCTATCTATAAGATGCCTTTGAATGTATTGAAATTATGTATCTAAAATCTCTACATCCTTAATTTTTATTATAAACTAGCTGTTCCCATTCAGCTTCATCCCCGCATGAAATTGTAAAATCTTTATTTAATTGTTCACATTTGTCAAATTCTCAATTGCAAATGTCCAAATTGCCATTACCATAATTACCTTGCTTCCTTAATGTTGGCAGTAGGGCAGAGTAGGGCTTTTTATTAAAGAAAGAATTATTCAAAAATATGCTGTGATTGCTGACATCCTATGCTATAAAGAAGTGTGTGTTTACACTTTATTGTAATAGTATATGTTGTACCCAAATTCTTAATATATGTATTGTTATTACAGTTACAATATCTCAAGCTATAGAGAAAAGTATGAGCAGTTACTTCAACGTTACACAGAGAGGTTTGTTGGAGGTGAAACTGATACTAGTGTCAATATTTATTCCGGTGGTTTGCAGTCCCCTAACAGTGCAAGCAAGAGGAAAGCATTGAGACTCAAGTATGTAAAACATTTAATTTGTTCTAAACTTGATAGTATTTGTTAAGTTTTTTATTAAATCACCTTTATTTTTATTTTTTTAAATATGTGTTAAGGCATTTTAAATAGACAACAATGTATATCATTTTCTAATTAACTGGACATTTCATGTTATTAATGGTATTGTTTTGTAAATTAAGTAATGATCACTTACAATTGTATCAAAGTTTAAGTGACGAAATAATTTGCAAACCAAATGCTATTGCAATAACTTAAAATTTAATTAAAAGAACATTTTTTGATCCTAGCACATTGTGATTTCTATTTACTTTGTCCTTGAATTTTTAAAAAGTTCAAGTATTTAACAAAATTTATAATAGTTTAATATGATTTAGAAGTATCTGTTATGAAGCAGCTAGCTCAATAAAAAAAATGTTATAGAATGGCCCAGTTGAAGTCACCAGGACGCCGTCTCTCTCACTTGGCTCGTCGGCGACAGGCATTCTGCAGTGCAGCTACCATCAACGAGAAAGCTCAGGGCACCTCATCTAAGATGGTGCTCATTGATAAAAAGTAAGTATTTTCTCTTCTCATTGTCATTGTTAAGAAATAAATAAATTCTGTATATATCATTTACTCATATTGTAAAAGTGTATTTTGTCTCATTTTATTACATCTTATGTATTTCTTATTTTCATCATCATAATAACTAAACAAATATCTTTGAAGTTTCTTCCCGCACAGGAAGCTGATAAATTCCGCCGAAAGGAAAATACGACGCACGCCTAATAAAAAGACACCTACACGAAGAACACCAGGCAAAAAGACCGGTGCAGCGACTCCGAAGACGAAAAGTGGAGGATCAAGTAAAAAGAAAGCGATGAGACGACTACTAATGGACACGGAAAGCTTATCTCGATCTCAACCAACAAGAGAAACATTGAAAAGGGCTCTGTTTGTTAGCCCTGAAAATAGGAAGAGTATACCAAACACTGCTAGCTCTTCCGTACCACAGCAAACGAATAGATTCAGACGCGTATTATTCAGTTCCCCAGACCGTGCTGAGACCAAAAGTATGGATGGTACCATAAGTGATAATTTCCTCAAGAGGAAGTGTGAAGATGTATTGGACAATGGTCGGAGTAAGATAGCTAAGAGTTTGTCGTTTGGTGGCGATTCCTTCAGCGCATCGCAACCTGTCCCGTTTGATCGCAGAGTGTCCGAAATACTGACTACAAGGAATACAACTGAATTAAACGAGACTCATAAAAAGGTTTGTACTTTCTTTTAAATTAAAAATTTAAATTAATTGTTAAATTTTATGATCACTGAAGGAAATTAACTAGCGTTAGTAAAAATCGCCTTTGATGTAAGTTACTCTAAATTTTATCTTAGTAGGAGTGTTGTTACGCGCTATAAACTGTATGTTTTCAAGCTATTAAACTTAGGGGTGAATAAATTTAAAATAATTGTCATGCAAGAAAGGAATATAATCTACAAGCCAATAGCAGCAAAGAAGTAAGATTGCGTTGGTAATGGTTATTGTTATCCATTGGTTAAATGAATTTTGATATTTGGAATTAAGAGTTGTACACGTAACAATAAAATAAAGTTTTTATAGTATCAGGCAGATGAAGTGACATGGGAACAGTTTTGATCTAATGTTTATTTTGTTTCAGAAACTGCTATGGGCGGTGTCGGAGGCGCTGCGGGCGCGCGGCTGGCGCATGTCGTCGCCCGGGTTCCGCGAGAAGGCGGCGGCGCTGGCGCGGCTCACCAGACGGCTGCTGACGCTGCCGCCGCACGCCGCCCGCCTCGCCACGCCCGCGCTCTCCACATCAGAGACCATGCTCAAGTAAGACTCTTACCTATATCTATACATATAAAAAAATTGAAGCGTCTGTTTGTAATGTCAAAAGAAAAAATCCAATATTCAGGAATACTTCATGTATTTGCGTTGCTGAAAACAAAAATCGCATTTAAGTAATAAAATAAAAATGAACTAGTACTGCTATGCATGAACTAAACTTCTGAGTCTTCTTAAAATTTTGTGATATCTGTTACTATGGGATAAAGCACTAAGATTTTTTTAAAAACCTTTGTGTTTATTGTAGCTAGAGATTTTCGCTAGTTTAAAACCATTTATATGAAATTACTACAACTACTTTGTTTTCAGATTAGCGCGGCAATATGTGTACGCAATCATCCAAGGTCGGACAGTGGAAGAATGTTTCCAAGATGAACAGATAAAGTTAGCCAATGAATCAAACAAAATATCTGGATACATATCACCAAAAGCATATCAGTTGAAGACGAGACAGATGTCCTCGGCTACACTCACATCGCAAATTAAAGAAAATACATGCTCCAATTTATCTATAAGACAAGAACAGCCAAAGAGCTCCTCCAAGAATATTTTGCAGGACAAATTAGTTAATATAGATTCTAATTCGAATAGCAGCATTGGTATTAGTATGCTAGATAAAATTGGCTTATATAAGTCTAACTCGATGCCCTCTTTCGAAGATGCTGCGAAAATGCGGGCTAGGAGACAAATAAGTTTTGACAGTGTTGACTTTCCAAAAAGGTGATGTGTTTAAAGTGATGTATTTGTGAAGAAAAGTGTGTTAACTTGTGTTAGAATACCAGCGTTAAGTATCAAAACTTTGACTTTAGTTCTATTAATTTATTTGAAGACTTTCATATTCTTTGACATTTTAATTTTTTCTCGCTCTAATATTTAGTGTTGCGACTTCTGTAACTGTCAAATATTGGGGTAATTATGGCATTGTAATACATTGTATTGTATTTACATGTACAGTACAATACATATGTACTTTAATTAAAAAAAAATCCCTAGCTAATATTTAGAAGCATTTGAAAAAATTGTATTTCAATACTATGAAACGAATTAACAGCTTTTGTCTATGGTATAGTATTTTCGTGTCTCAAATGTTTGACAATATATTTTTGACTTTTGTTAACTTAGCAATAATTATTTGATTGTCTCTTATTCTATATCTTTTAATATTCTGTGCTGATTTACTATTTATATAACAGAATAGAAATAGCTTCAAAGTATTAAGTACAATCTACTTTTTTCTTAAATTGTAATTATATTAAAATAAAGTATATGTAAAATATTGAAATATGATAAACGGAACAAAGGTTTCATGGGTTTGTAAATTAAGGTTGTCCAAAAAAATTCTAAATTACATAAAGTAAGGATTTATTTCTGTTTACAAATTGTCTCTAGAAATATGTATGTAACTTTGTTGCTATTAACATATATGAAAAATATTCACATATATGTTAAAACTTCTTCAAATGTAATTAATCAATATCTCTGACATTGTCTATGGTTTTATATTTTTCGGTACTTGTATATTTTGACATGCATCAATGAAGAATTTTATTAATGTAATTTTGTGTTTTGTGCATATAAAGCGCATTTTTTTGTTATTTCTTTGAGTTTATTTTGTTTAATGCACAGACAATTGTCATATCAATATTGCACTGGTAACATTTGTAGGTAAGTTGTGATATAGGTATTAACTGCATTACTAGTTGATGTAACGCGAACTGAAATATAATTTTAGTGTGGACTTAGAAAACTTTTATGATGTAACCTGCTACCGCTGAGTGTGATCTCGGTTTCTGTAAATGTAGCGATAAATTATTTTTCTCGAATATCATTTGTTTTAATTCATATCTACTGTTTTAACACTTGCTTAGTCGAATTTAAAGGGAATGAAAATTAAAATAAACGTATCTGATCAATTTAACTTTTATAAAGCTGTAAACACAGAAACATTCAATTGTCAGTTATTGAAATGTGTAAATAAAATTTTAATTGAATCCATCCCTTTCTTTCTCTTTAAGAGAAACAGAGATAACAAATAGTAACCTGTGTTGGCGCTATTGCTTTATTTCTTTAAAAACTCTAACTGCGCCACAGACGCAGATTTTTTTATGTTTACTAATTCTTCGGTTTGGGATTCCTTTATCTTTTATTCTGAGTGGTATAAATTATAGTTATTCCTTCAAAAACACTACGTTAAATTGGTTGGCAAATAATGTTTTTTCCTTATGAAGTATTGCTTCTAAAAATAAATTTAATTTAAATTAGTTGCGATATAGTTATAATAGCGTATAGTCTTTGTTTAGTTTTTGAATGATAGTACAATATAATGTGTAAATCCCAATGTAATATCTAATCGAATTCCAATAAAACAATCATCCGTTATAATTGTTGATAAGATTCGCGATACGACGCATTTATAATTGTTCCAAGATTCGTACGTGAAGACTTTGTTTTAATAGTGTAAACAAATATGGGCATTGGACAATCGTATCCAGGTTTAACAGAAGATGTTTTGGAAGATTATACGACGTTAACATATTTAAATAAAGGAGAAATTCTATAGTAAGTTATGAAAATTTGCTTATTTTGCTTGAACAAAATATTCAGTTCTCTGCTACGTATACATTTTATGTTAGATCTAACCAAGATGATGAATACCGTAAAAATAACGTCGAATAACAGTTTTAATTGCAGTTTGATTTAAAAACATTGCATTTTCAGTTTAATGAAAAAGTTTTATTCAATCGATCCGGATAAAATTCGAGAAAATTATCACCACAGATTTGAAAAAGACGTTATCATTAAGAAATTCGATGTTTTACAGGCAAGTGCAATTAATAACAATAATAATAAAGAATTGAGAAACATTTACGGCAAATTGTCACAATGAGAATAAAAACTCCTAAGTCATTATAAACAGTTAAAAGCGAGCATTTAAAACTTTATACATTATTGATTTGCCAGTTTTATTAATACTTAGACATCCATATAACATTTTGTTTGCAGAATAACCCGTTCCAAGATCGCATATTCCACGTATTCTCATCTAACAATGATGATTGTTTCTCATTTGAAGACATGTTAGATCTGTGCTCGGCGATGAGTTCCGAGTGTCCTACAGAGGTGAAGGCGGCTTGGGCTTTCAGAATTTTCGGTAAGGTTACTGCGTAACTATTTTTTTGGTATTAATTATTAGTTAAAATATAAACGAATAAGTTTCTGTTTGCTTACAGGTAAGCTTGTGCTATCTTATGCATAGCACAAGTGTTCTAAATCGTAATTTAGCGTAAAGTTTATTTAGTAATGTTGTATATAAGCTGAGTAGTCTTTTTATGTATCAATTTTACTTTTATATTCAATAGATTTGGATGAAGATGGTCAAATTTCAATGAGAGATATAAGTGAAATTATCGACCGTTTGACGGGATGCTCGAAGGACCGTTTTTACCAACTCGACGACGAATCAAAAACGAAGATTGCTCACGTTGTAAGTTTAATAGTACGATAGATTTGTGTGAACTACAGAAGTAACTGCTGAAATATAAGACTTGAAAGTTCAGAAAATAAAATAACATACTGTGTTATTAGTTATCTATTTACTTTAATTTCAGATACTGGACGAAATTAAGCTGTACAACACTGGCGGTATTGGTCTAAACGAGTTCAAAATCATCATGACCCGAATCCCTGAATTTCACTCGTCTTTTTACTTTAGAGTATAGAATGCTATACATGTTAATATTACATTTATTTATTACATAAAATGCGTTGTGTTAATTTAAGCGAAAGTAATAAAGACAACCTAATCTTTATTTATTATGTGAATTGACTGTAATTTGAAAATTATTGACGATTTAATGCATAAATCTATCTGATGAAAGCTTTACAGGCCGCTTTATTGTAGCGTCCGGCGAGAGTGCGTCCGGGCAAGGAGGGGAAGCCGCTCGTACGACCTCTATCCCCCGGCAGCGCCACCGGCTGCTTGTACCTCACATGGCTTGCCGGGAAGCCGAGGTAGGTGCTGTAAGTGTGATATAGTAAAATTACAGATCACTCATTAGATATATGATGATAACGGCTCGCGTCCAGAGATGTTTCTATTGAGTGGTGAGTCTAAAATAAAGAATAAGCGACCATCGCGCAACAATACTTTTAAATGTACCAACAAGAAAGTCAGTAGTAAACTGCAGGGCCAAGTAAGTTTTAGGTGTGCCGCGATAACCAATATTTTAAAATTACTTACGGTGTCATTTCTGGAGGACACTGCCACATGTACTGTGGGTCGTTGAAATAAATGAGAGGATGACGAGAATTGGCTTCGCCCTTGTAAAAGCTTCTATGGCGTTGGCATGCCTATATAAAATAAAAAATTGGAAGCGCACGTTAAGAATGAAAAGTATCTATCCACCGTAAGTAAACTAACGGTTTTATGTCGAAATTAAAGGTCGGAAAGTATAATACCAGATTTAATAGGAAGTAAGCAACAAACACGTGCGATACTTACTTCATAAAATGTTTCGATTTCATCCTGACGTTTGTTATCAACAAATAAAATGTCCATAGCTTAGTTTGATTTTGTAAAATTAAAATATTTGTGTTTTGAGATTATAATTGAAATTTTGAATTTAGTGCGCAACGCCAGTTTGAGTTTTTGTGTCAAAAGTCAAAACATTATCTAACCATAGATTATCTATAACTTTTAAAAGAGTGCATTTTTAATAAATGAGTTTCAATACCACCTTCTCTTCATGTTTTCAAATGCGACACACTTATAAACCCGATAGGACAGAATGAAGTCTAGTGGATTTGTGTCCGCAAACAGTTTTAATATTAAGTCTACACACTCAACGGCGGATCAAGGAGGTTCTGACCCCCCCTGAGCTGTCAATCCAGGTCAATCCGCCTTGCACACACTCGTATCCTAGAGGGGTGGACAGAGGTTTTATCTTATGCTGTGCTATGCGCTGGCATCTTATTTTAGATTGAATATTGAATATTGTGGTACAGTAATTATTACATACATTTTAAATTTTGATCTAAGTAAAAGAATTATTTTTTTACAAACATTTATTTTCATGCCATTTGTACTATTGAATTTTGCTAATGACTTTTTATAAAACCAGCAGAACATCTTTGAGTATTCTCAAAGCAGGACATTTATCTTATGTAAGCCTTGCATGGCGGTTTATTGTATCTTGCAGCAAGAGTACGATCTGGTAGAGCTGGCATACCAGAGGTACGTCCGGTTGTATAGGGTAAAACACTGGGTTGTTTGTATCTCACATGATAATACGGATATGTTAAGTACGTCCTGCGCAAATAAAATGTTATTAACGTATCTTGTAATTAAAATGTAGTGCAGTAATTATTAAATAGTCTCTAGTACATGATGTAACTTTATTTTACATGCCCAAGTAGGACATTGCCTACAATGGACACAGTGCAGTTGCTTCATTGCTCAGCTACCATGACAGTAACTTTCTAGTATACATATAGTATAAGTAGGATATAATTAGGATTAGTTTATTATATAAATATTGGAACATAAAGGTAACTTACGTTGTCATTTCAGAAGGACATTGCCATCTATACTCTCGTTCTTCAAAGTATGTTAATGGATGATAGTTTTGAGGATTGCCTTTGTAATAATTACGATGTTTTTGGCAAGCCTGCTCATCAAAATAATTTAGTAAGAAGCAAGAACAATAAATAAACCACAGCCTTTGGTATGCCTTAATGATTATAGAAGTTGTCTGAACATGCTCTAAGATCCTATTACATGATCATATCCTATGATAGCTTATGATGTAGTGGTTACAAAGGTGTAATTTAAGGTAATCAAAATTAGATGTTTACAATTACACACACTTAAAGGATGCAAAATATAAAATATCAAAATCTATTAAACCTCAAAAAAAGTATCAATCTCCTGTTGCCGTATGTAATCCATGAACAATATATATTTCACCATACTGGTTTATCGTTTTATATGGAGTTCAAAACACTGAGTATGAAGTAAATTAATTAATAAGATGTTAACATAAACTTGAAGTTTGTTCTTTAGACGTATTTCAGGCGGATGTTTTGAATTCGCATGTTGTCTAGCTTATCCGTGAAAAAAGTTTTTGATCTAAAAAAAAAATAATAATTTGTTGAATATTGTCTATAGGTGTTTTTTTATTCTATTTTTTGATTATTGTCTATGGATTTAAGTATTGTGTAGTGAACGAAACGTCAAAACAAATTTCTTGATTTTGTTTAATTTATTTATTGGGAGGCAATAATGTACAGCCACGATAATGCACGACCCAATAATGCACGGCCCAATAATCCGTGTACAAACAAAGGATTTTGGTACACG